ACCGGAGCGTTGTGCATCTCCCCACTCATCTCTGACCACCGTACTCATCTTTGATCTGATCATCAAGAAGGCCATCGGATTTGGTGATCGGACCGTCGCGCGAGGTACATCGCTGTCTAGATATATATATAGATATTTCAGATTTAGTAAACGTGGTTTTGCACATTCTTTATTAATCCATCACATCTCGGCCCTTGAGCCATTTTATTCAATTTATACAGTTTTGTGCTTTCTGAGTATTGCCAAAATATTTAGTTGGCGGAAATATTTAATTTATCTATCCACAATTAATTATTCCTTCGGATCCATCTAAATTGTGAAGTGGAAGATCTGCTATTGGAGCGGTGTCATCAAGAAGGGCACACTAGGTCGTCTGTTTTCCTTGTTACCTACACTTTCTGCACTTTTTAAAATGTGCAGATTCTCATTGGTTACCTAAAAATATCACCCAATAAGAATGTGTACTTTTTGAAAAGTGCAGAAAGTGAAGATAACAAGAACAGACCAGACAGACCTACTGATATGTAAAGTACGAATTTGGCTTTCGTAACTAATTCTACAAATCTTCATTGGAGATATTAATTAACAAAGTAATGGATGATTTTCTAACGATAACTCACAGCAATGAAGCATTTTGTGAAAATCATGATTGTAATCTATTTCGTTCATTGTTACCTGGTATTAATAGGTCGTTTTATTGAAACGTATATAGCATCATAAGATAAGAAAAAGTAAAAAAAGTGAAAAAGGCAAATGATCACAAATGTTTAACCGTGAACGTAAAGTGTGAAGGCCATCAAACAGATTAGAATCCAGCTGTTAGCCCTAGGCATTATACGTGAAAGTGTTGCCTGTAAAATGCCACGACGGAGGAATTCCGTGTTTATTGTGGTGGGAGACTTCGTTGGAAACCAATAAGTAGAAAGAAAGCAATTTCTGCTCTTTGCAAGGATCTAGTGACTCTAGTCCAGTATAAAGTTCTCTGGCACTCGACATGGCTGTTCCTCACGTTGTAAGTCCATATGGTTTAAACGCTCTTCATGCGTGCGCTCAAAATCATACTTGTTGATTGAATTTTATGTGAAAGAAAGAATTAAACTCTTATTGATATATCGTAACGTTTGCTCAAACATACTGTACTATTCTTAGAGGAATCAGATAACAATAATGTAATAAGACAATATTATGACATTCCATCGACAGGGTAACAATCTATTGGAGGAACTTGATCTATTCAGTAAAAATCTTTTGGATCGTTTATCAGATTCAAAGGATAATGATCTTATCATTAGACCACTTTCTGTTAAAGACTATAATAAAGGTAATAGTGTTACTTTGACAAGTTATACCTGTATCATTTAAAACCAATTTCTTAGATGATTTTCAATTTCTAGGGTTTATTCAACTATTGGGTCAGTTGACTGAAGTAGGAAATATTAGCCATGAACAGTTCCTAAGTAAGTTTTATGAAGTCAAGATTATTGACCCTTTTCTATTTACTTTTTAATACAAGATTATATTATAATGAGGTATGACTGATATGTACTCATTTTTATAGATACATTTCGAAAAATGAAAATGGCTGGTGATTATTACATTGTTGTTGTCGAAGATATGAATACTGGAAAAGTTATCGGTAGCTCTACTCTTGTTGTAGAACAGAAATTCATTCACAATTGTGCTCTGGTATGTAATCGATTCTACTTTTGACTAGTGCAGTAAGTTTGGAAAGTTAAATTAAATTATGTTCCAGCGTGGAAAATTGGAAGATGTTGTGGTGAGTAATGAGTATAGAGGTAGACAATTGGGTAAACTACTTGTAAATACTATATCTAAACTGGCAAGAAATCTACGTTGCTATAAATTATCATTGGATTGCCGTGATAACTTAATACCTTTTTACGAAAGTTTAGGATTTAAGCGAGAACTTGGCAATGCAAATCATTTAAATGCTCGCTTTCATTATGAGAATCCTACTGAACAGTCACACTTGTGATACTATATAAAAATATTATTTATCTATCATTGTCCACAGATTGTCCGAACAGATATGCCCATGGCTCAATATTATAAGATATACAATGATAAATAAAAATAAAAATAAGCTGCAATAAATTTATATATCCTCATAGTTGAAGATATAATAAAGAAAAGAAAATAGCAAAAACGTAATTCTATAAATGACTCAATTATTGTATTACGGTACGTGAAACGTTTATTCTTCAGTTCGTCGCAGATAATAATTCTAATATAATAGTATAATTAATCACTCAATAACGGTATTTGATTAATTTCATTAAATCTTCTTAGCTGGAGCACTGGTTCGTAATTTGGCGGCTCTCTTAGCCTCCATTTGCCGTTGACGTGCAAGTTTTCGTTCTTCCCGTTTCCTTCTAGCCTCGCCGAATTTATTATTTGCTTCTGATACGCCTGCGTAATTAAAATAACTAATTTTTCATCTCGATCAAAGAACAAAACCAAATATACTGTAGTTGTACAATACCAGATTGCTCCAGTGGTTGAAAATCTTCCAATGGCTGGAACTCTGAATCCTCCCAGCCAGTTTCTGACTCCTCGTTTTTCTCTTTCACACTTTCAGCAGCTTCCTCTTCCTATGTGAATTTAATAAAATATATCCTATTATTTGCAAGCCGGACGAAAAATTCTCAAGCATGTAATCGTAACAAAACATGTATCAAAGAAAAAAAAAAACTAAAACGCCACCAACCGGTTCTTCCTCCAAACTTGTCCATTGATCGTTAGCCTTGGGAGGAACAGAGGATGGTGACATATTGCTGGTTGCTGTTGTGCTTTGACCTGTGGGTTGCTGTTCCATATCTCCCCAATTATCCGCTTCCCAGCAATCCCAGTCACAATCAGAATTAGTATTTCCAGTGTTTTGAGTATCATGATCATGATCATGATCCAAAGAAGTCATACTCGTGGCACTACTAGTAGTTGCAGTTGTACTAGCACTACTCTGCGAACTACTAGCTTGTTCTAAAACAATAAACAGAATGCACAAACTTAATTTTAATAAACAGAAATGATCATTGAGTATTGAAAAATGCCAGAGAAAAGTTATAATATATTTACCCAAAGAAGCTGGCTTGCTAAGTAAAATTCTGGACGTATTATGAGGATTAGAAGATTTTGGAGTATCTGATTGACTTCGATAAAATTTTGCAGTAACAGCTGTGACTGCCCAACCAGCCCATGTTGCAGCAGCATTACTGAGACTTGGGGTAGCAGTGTTTACGTCTGCCTCTGAAAGATTTTTTTAGAATTTTATGAGAGGATTGACAGGAAATTTGTAGCACAATTGAAAATTAAGTTACCCATAGATTCACGCAGACCAGGATCTTCTGACACTCTTTCGAGTTTCGAAAGAAATCCACGTATCGTACGGAATGCATTATCCCTTACACCTTTATCGATATCTGTAGTAAGAGGACATAGAGCAGGTAATATTCGATTTGCAACTTCTTGAAGTAAAAAGTACTGCTGAGTAGCTGCTAGGGCTAAGACACTTGCACTGCGCGCAGGCGCAAACGGGTCTTTGGTCCCACGAATAAATGCGCCTATTAGAACCTGTAATAAATTTCTTATTGATATATCATTTAATTAATTATCTAATTGATACGTACCTTTTGTCTTATCTGAGGATGTAGGTGTTGAGCTATTTTTCCTAGACAGACTGTCGTATTGGTGCGGATTCCACCTTGATCGTCTTTTGATTGAAGTCTGGCAAAATATCTCAACGTTTCAACATTGAGATTGTTATAATCTAATTTTGGAGCCAAATGAACGACTGACTTTATTGTCTGTTCCCGAACAGCAGGATTTGTATCTAAAAATCCTTTCGCTACCTGCAACGTATAAATATGGTTAAAAAAGTACATACTGAATGTATCCTGATTCTAGATACTTGATAACAATTTGAAGTATGTATGAAAAATATACCTGTGGAAAAATAGCTTCATTAACTGTAGTTGGCTGTAAATGATTAACAAATCTATCAAGCTGCTGCAACAGCCGTAGTCTCGTAGCTCTGTCGTTGGATGCGAATAATTTAACAACGCATGGAACTACGCGTTTTTGATATTCAGCATCAGGCAATTGGCGTCCAAGTTGTAAAAGTGGCGGTAAAACTGCACTTCCAGCGTCACCGAATTCAAAAGCAGCTAATAATTGTGGCAAAATTTTGTGCCTGCCTACACCTTCTGGAAAGGTTTCCAATTGACTAGCGAGTTGTGAGAAGAAACGGCCCTTTTCGCCCCTTTCTTTCATCTGAATTTCTTCCAGGAAGAGTAGAGCATCCACGAGGTCGTTCTTAAAGAATCCACCGTTACTACGACATCGAACAATAACGTCAGCGGGGTTTCGTCTGCCTTCCGGATTGGAACCCGTCAGTTCTCTGTATACTGTCATCAACTGTTTTGGGATCTAAATGAATAATATTACATATTGCAGTTAAATGTAGGTCTAAGTAATTCGAAATAGGTTTAGTAATATATAAAAATTAATATGTACTTTGTCAACAGCTTTAAGATTTGCAGCGGCAGTAAGCGGTCCATTGAATGCTTCCCAAATCAGGCAGCCCAGACCCCACATGTCAATTGAGCTATTTTTTTTATTCATTCATCAGTTTCATAGTGCAAAGATTAAACCTAAATATTTAAATATTGAAAATTCTAATATCGTTATTTAAACGATCATTCACATTCTACTACTGTTCTGTAGGTAACTGACATGTGACTCAAATTTCAAAATGGTGTAAGAAAATAATGTTTTTATCAGCTTTTACATTACCATTTAGTTGGTGGTTTTGCATTTTCCATGGCTTCTGGTGGACGATACATCTGCAGTGTTGGGTGTAAAAAAGTGTATAGAGAATCTGCTGCAGTCATATATTCCACTCCGCCAAGTTTCCATTCTCCACTTTCTTCATTAACAAACACAGACCATAGATTGACATTGTTGTGTCGCAAGTTGCCATCGTTATTTAAAAAACTTAGTGCCCTCTATTTAGAACAACATTAAGAAATTAATTAGTTTCTCCTATGAGTACACTTAATAAAAATACAAATACTTATTCTACATACAGTAATTTGGAATATTCCCCATGAAAAGTACAAATCCTTTTGATGACCATCTCCAGTATCATTTTTTCTAGACAAACGACTATGTAATGGCTCTACTCTTTCAGTAGCTAGATACACCATTTTCTCCGTCTAAATAAAGTGAACAATGAATAAGCATTTCTTAGTGACCTTATCATCAGATTCAATAAATAAAATATATTACACCTCTAGACTGTCCAGATATGCCAATATACTTGGATGTCTCAGAGTTTTAAGTCTTTTGACTGCTGATCGTGCAATTTCCAGCTGAAATTCTCCACCATTTTTAACATCAAACACAAACACAGAAACATCCTCTCCGCCAGTAGCTCCCTATAAAGAAATATTATTCAAGGAAAACTAATAAAGTAATTACATTATACCATAATTAACATAAGACTGAATAATCATCAAATATGACATATACAATATTAATAAAATTACGTTTTTAGTACAATCTTCTCAAGTTACCTTTCTCTTAGCTCTATGCAAAGTCCAAATACTTTTTCCCTCAAGTCCCGATACAGGTTCTCCAATTTCGTAAGGAAAATCCTTAGTAGGATCCCGTGAGAAAAATGACCACATTCTCTTAAAAATATATTATCTGTCACTTCGAGCAAATGTATTCATCTTTCAACTTTATGGTTTCTCCTGACAGCCACGCATCAATCCACATCAGACTTCACGGTCCTTCGGATGTCATCAGTTTTAGACATACATATGTATATCACTTAATCCACAAACCACTTATAGCAGATATGGGCTTAGTTTCCACTGTGCAGAGTTTAACAGAGTTAACCAATCACGTATAGGAGTTGAATGGATTTGACCAATGGACACTGCTAAACTGTTTAAACTCTGCACGATGGAAACTAAGATGGTATTCCTGTGTGACCTCTAATAAGTTAGCCGGACACTTTTAACTTTTTTAATTTTTTCTGTACTAATCGTTTGATGGTCGATTGGTGGTGATTGGTGGTCTCATTAAAAGGTTTGACAATCAATAGTTTTTCTGGAACAAATATTAATTTTTAAGTAAGAACATTCCCTGAGGTCTTAATTGACGTAGAATCGTTTGGTGGTTACAAATAAACTAGTTAAACGGTTTGCTGGTTATTGCTTTTGCCCAAAATTGTAAAAGATGATTAGGGGAATGCTAGTTGCTCGCGATATTGGGTATGTGCTGAAATCAGTTTCAGTAACTCGCAGTACCACCATTAATACACTGCAGCTTTATAGAAGGCTAGTGCAATACTGTCAGTTACTGATACTAATTTCGGAACACATCCAATGGTCGCAAGCCACAAGTATTGTCCGAATCATTTTTTTTACAATTTTGGGCAGAACTAATGACCATCAAACCTTTTAACTAGTTTATTTGTAACTACCAACAATTCTACGCCTATGAAGACCTCACAAAATGTTCTTATTTAAAAAATTAATACTTTCCGGCCAATTCATTGCAATCGTGTGGTTTACCCCCACCACGATTGCGCTTACAGGTTTTGAGGTTTCTGGCAGAATCGATGTCTACCAAAACTTTTAACTAAGTTATTCGTAACCACCAAACGATTTCGCATCGATTTGCCCCTTTATCGAACAAAATCGGTTAATAAATAAAATATGTCCAGCTAACTTCTTGTTATAATTTATTTTGTTTGAAGAAAAACTATAAACGATTAGTACAGAAACAAATTGAAAAAGTTAAAAATGTCTGGCTAACTTATTACAGGTCTTTAAAGGATGCATTATTTGGCACTTGGCTCTCTAGAGCACAAAGCCAAAAAAGGTCAAGAAAAAAACGAAAATTTGCATTATAAAAAAAGAAAGCAATGCCCTTAAAGAATCGGAAGCGAGTAATGTATTTTGGCGCCAAACTGTAGTCCAATGGATTGTCTGGGCTAAGCAATCTACTCAACTTTATATACTCCATGGTAGTAGTACAACTGGACATTCACAATTGCAACAATAGAAAATCTGGCACATCTCATTGGAGGAGGCAGGTATAAGAAACGGAAGGAAGGAACAATAGAAAATAATAGTAAGTTCCACTAAACTTTGTACGTCATTAAAGAATTCGTATTAATATTTTATTGGTATTTATTATTGTTCCTATTTCAGCAAGTAATTGGAGCATTTTCAGAAGTTTCTAGTGGGATATATGTATATCTTTCTAGAGCACTTCCATAAATGGTGAAAAAAAATAATATCCAATCTTTTTTAATAACCTACGGTAACCTACTGGGTACGTTGATTTTAATTTCATAAATAATACACAGCATTATTGAATATTTATTTTATGTCAGTGCTATTAAAATATTTCGTGATTATAGGCAAATATAAGTAAAACAAAAATGCATGCAAAAGGAGAGTTCAGGGCCCAAGGTGTTGACACAGCTTTTGCCAGTCGACAAAAATTGCTTTTAGAACAACTTTCTAGAGCAGAAAAAGAGTGTAGTAAGGATAAGGAAGTCCACAGAGTATCACCCAAGGAAATGGTGATTGAACTAAACAATTTAGAGAATCCACGCGCAATATCCACGAATGGACGTAAACGGAAGACTGAAACTAAACAGTTTCGAGGCAAGGAGAGTCTTTTTAAACGACCTGGCGCACCTGCACCACGAGTTAATCTTAGAAGTATTCCTGATCATCATAAAAATCCTCACAAGTGGACCAAATATAGTCTGGATGATGTTTCCAATGAAGATATGACAGAACATAGTAATGCTCAGGCTGCTTTTTCATTTTTACGGGAATTAAGGGCAAGAAAGGAAATGGAGGAGGACCGTGAAGAACAAATGGACATTGACCACTCAATAAGAAGTAAAGAAAAGGTTGCCTTTAAAACCAGAAAAGATAGACCGCCCATTGAATTTAAAAGACCAAAAGAGCATGAATCAGAAGTACATGGTGCTCCTGTAATAGTAGAACAGGAAGACTGTGTAACATTTCAAAGCAGTAAGATCATCATGCCTGAATATGTGGTAGGCCAAAAGCGTATTAAACAAACAAGAAAGAAAGATAAGACGCCTGAGACACTTGGAATTGAAAAGACTTTACAGAAACCCAAACCACTGAAATTGGATCACTTGGAGGAGCTTGATGAAGAGGTTTGAATTTATTAGCATTATTTACTTGGACTGCTTGCGATGAACAATTTCTTTTACCTTATTATTAATTGTAAAGATCAGGTGTTAGTGTAGCAGGAAATATTGTATATTGATATCTCCAAAAATTATATGGTTGAACTTTCATTGATGAATTTTCAGCTTTTATTCAATATCCACCACTTACAGAGATGTCAAAAAAGTTTTTAAATATCTCTTTGTGCATACCTGATGCATTAAGATTAAATTATCACAATATATCAGAATTTATAGTAAAATTGTAATCGATCACTGTTACATCGATTCAATTTTTCTGGGTAATGAAAACTAATATTCAATACTATATTTAATTCTATTATCAATTAATATAATAACGGTTCTTATTCCCTTATCACATTAATTATATGATCATCGTCTTTGTTTTCGTCGTCATTGTTCTCTTAGTAATACCTAGAGAATAAAACGTCTGGTAGATTGATGCGTTGTTACGAGAATTGCCGAAAAATTGGCAAAAATTGCTAAAATTTGCAAACGGCGAAAAGATGAGAAGGATAAATACTCTCCTTTTATTCCTTTCGTTCGTTTTAGCAAAAGGTCACTTGTTATGAAGAATCTTGGAAGAATCTCGCATGACCAGTCCTTCTGCGAATTGGAGAGTGATCAATAACGATCAATATTTGTTAATAGCAATCGAGCATGATCATAATAAAAGATTAAGACGCGTAAAGAGACTTGAAGTAATACTAAGTCATGTAAAGAGCTAGGTCTAACGAGAAGAGATGTTAAGTGCATTGAGAATAATGGCATAAAAGGTGTGGAAGGCTACCATAAAAGGAAGCCCATGTAAATTGATCGCATCGATGCTATTTGCAGCCACGAGATACGTCGTGATTAAGTCCTGGTACCAACTTGGAACCATCTTAGTACCAAATTGGTTATACAAAACCGGAATGTCGCCTGGATATGGTAGAATTTGTAATTGTAAGATCATCCTCGAGAGCCAAGCTCATTTCCTGATAGCTCAGAGAATGGCACGAGCAATACAGTCAGTTAATTGTGAGCGCATCGGAGGAGCTCGTGAAACTCTGTCGGCCCAACAACAGTAGTTTTCGTTGGCGGGTAAGGATCTTCTTTAGTATACTTGGTGTCCGCGGAACCGCTATATCCGGCCGCGGTGGGGCACTGTGTTACGCAGGTTTGTGCTTCTTTCTTTGTTCCCTTCTATGGGCACCACTTCCAATTCCACTGGGGTTACCGCTAACAGTACCACCCGAGGAACTACAGCTAAATGCGCTTCCACGTTCACAATCTGCAGTCGGTATGGCTTTAAGTTCTCTGCACATTACAGATTTCAACAAGAAAAAATCAGTAGGTCAGTTCTAGAATTAAATCTGAATACTGCTGCTGATCAATAAGAGAATAACGAACCTGTAATTCAAAAGTTCCTCATCATCAGGGACCCGTGAAATCAGGTCAAGCAGCTCATTATTGGGAACGGAATGGGGCCTTAGTATTTTCCTCGAGAACTTGTTGACACCCCAGGCCAGGATGAGGTACCGCACAGGAATTAAATACAGAACAGCCACGCCAAGGATGGCGAGCATCATCGCCACGTAGCTCAGATATGGTACGGTAAAGTTGAATAGATTCTTCACTCTCTCTGCTAAACTGGCGATGTATCCAATGGAGTTTTGCACGGTCTGCGTCACTTCCTGGATCGCCTGGAGTCTTTCCTTCAAACTCTTTTTCTCCTCCTGTAGGAAATCCCCTCATGCATGATCAAAGTCTTCACCTTGCTGACTGCCTCCAGCCACATCTTTGAATAATGTGATTCGCTACAGGCAACGACTCACCGACCTTGTCCTTGTCATCCTCGTCGTCATCATCGTCCCCAGGTGTTGGAGGGCATTCGTCCGAAGCAGCATCCCCATGATCTTGGTGGTGATGCGATTGCTGGAGCTGAAGAGTGTAATTTTGATGAGATAGCGGAGCCCCAGTTACCAGGGCGACCTATTGATGATAATACAATCGCAACAATTATATTTTTTGTTGAATTTCTAATGTCACTGGACACTTACCAAATAATATTTCACGAGGATAAGAAGAGCTGCTGTGGGTATCATATAAGGTTCGAAGTAGTAACAACCTAGAACGAACAGGATGAGGGCCAGGATGCTCCGCGACTTCTTTTCCCACTCCCAGCAACTCCTAGTGGTACAAAATACAATGAATTTAAGAAAATAAATATTTATTCAATCATAAGTTGTATTAATCAGTGAAATTGATTTACTGAATATATTTGCCCATATTGATAAATATCAAAATTATGGCTTTCAGTCGAAGAACATTCTTCAAGAAGAGCTGTCTCTTAAACTTGATCTCCGGCTCCATATATTTCGTTTCCTTGGGATTGATTGTTCTGATGCAAGCTCTCAAAACATTCCACACGACTGTCATCTCCAGGAGGATCTGTGGTGAGTTACCCTTGGCACGTCCCCTAAGTTTTTTATCTTTCAAAGCATACCATCGTTTTTCTCCATTATGAATTCTCAATAGAGGTATCGCTACTTTCCCAAGGAACTCGACCTTATGATCTCGATCCTCGTCGTAGACAGTCACCTCCAGCACAGAATTGATATCTTTAACGTTGCTAGAAATAATGAAGCCACCAGAAAATATTTAAAACTAACATCTCATAGATACGAAAATTATAAGACCATTAGAGTCAAAAACAGGTACCTACAAGGTGAAGATCTTCTGCCAATTTGGCGCCAGGGTCTTATATTCCGTCTGAGTTTGCAATCTTGCATTTACCAGTTCAAGAACACAAAATGGATCACTCTTACCACCAAGATCAGCAGCAGCAAGTCCTTGTGCCCGGTATACCTGTTCCAGAGGATGATAAAACATGGAAATATTGTATCACGAAGAATGAAGAAAGATATAGTATTACCTTGACGGTAAGGTGGCCAACATCGCGTGGTCTCTGAAAGCTGTTAAAAATGGAATATCGTTGAAAAAGTTGAGTACGTTCATGAGGATTCTCTTCGTGGGCAGCAAGATCACTAATTGTTTCACTAGCAGTGGTGCCACTTATAGTCAGGAGTAGAAATATGCTACCAGCACCATCCTCAAGTTCTCTCCACAATCGGTGCGTTGTTTCCCGTTCAAGAGTTGCCAGATCGATGATGGTCCTACCCATGAGTTCATCCTGATGACTCTTATCCCGATCCCAGACAGTTACCTCAAGTTCCTGCCCCAGGTAAGGATCTTCGTAGAGGTGAAAGTCGAATTGCTCCAGCCACACAGGATTTAGTGTCTTCATTGCTATTTTCGATTTATACTTTTCTGTACCCAATCGAAACTTAACGTAAGGATCAGAGAGACCCTCTATATCCATTGGCAGGAGATTCTTCGCCTCCACGAGAACTATCGTCACCACAGAACTCCATATCTGTGATTTTAACCTTCGATTCACGTCTGCCAGCCGACTGCTCCTCTGAAAGTACTGCAACAAATGCAGTAAACGATTACTCGAATATCCTTTCGCATATCTATGCCTTTACAATTTATTTTTATTACATTAATATCCTGAACAATAATGTACTATATTATTATCCCAAAGTATCTACCCTGCACAATTCATCCTTTTTCTCCTTAAAACCTTCTTTTATCGTGTCAAGGAAATCATGTTGATGCGAATGTTTCCGATACACTACGCCGCTGTTTTCTTCTTTACCTTTGAATAATTCTTGCTCGGTCGAGGGTGATAGAGGGGGTGATAAAGGTAGAGGTAATACAGTTGAAGGTGGTAGTGGTGGTGGTGGTGGAGGTGGAGGCGGATATGGAGGTGGTGTCGGCGAGTCTGTAAGTAATGTGGAAATGTTCCAATTTTCAGAATAAAGGAAGCTAAGATTTCTTTTTTTCTCCTGGTTGTTCGTATGAGCTTCAATGGATGAACTTGTTGGTGACGTTATACAAGTATCAGTAATACCGTTACTGACGATATCAGCGGCCGTGGTGAAAGTATCACAATTGACATTGGCGGTCGAGGTAAGCACAGTTGTAGATACCGTATCTGCCATTGAAGTTGTCTGAAGTACCGAAGGTGTCCGGGTATGACGGAAAGTTTTAAAGCGATGTATTACCGTTTCAAGAACATCAATTCGGTTATCTGGCTTTGCTGATTTGGAACCTAGACATTTTTTTAAATCATCGACTACTTTCTTTTCTGTGGTGGTACATTTGTCAATAACCTTTTCATTTGTAGACGCAGTAGTCTCTTCGTTTTCTAATGTACCATCCGAATTCTTAGATGGATTTAAAAGTGTAGCAGCATTGTCATGCTGAGTAGAAACGCTTGATTTCCTTTGCATAAGACTCAATGATTCTGATGGAGAATAAGACTTTTTATGTTCGGTTAACCAGGTTTCAACTGGCCTGAGCCATGGGTGTTTCTCAATATTATCCTCGACGATTCTCTCAGCTTCATCTTCCAGCATCCTCTCGACGCGTTCGATCTTCTCAAACTTGTCTTTGCAGAGTTGTTTGAAGGAAGAACTATATTTTTCCTCTTGCAATGGTTTTCTATTTTCTGAATCCATGATAGCATCATTCAAGATCTCCTTTTTAATGCAAGAACTAATTTCTCACTAGTACGTCCTTTACTCGTTTATCTTAATATGCTCTCATTTCTAACCTAATTTTTCTTTCACATTTCACAACACTAACGTACGTCACATGCACCGTGTCCGCATGCAAATTCACATGATCTACGAGCTCGTGAGTATCCAACTGGAGTTTAAAAGTAATATCGACGATAGATAAACTGTATTTTGGAAAGTTGCTGTAGATAAGGTACCCTCCCACAATCAAGACACACCAACATCGGTAAATTGAAAGATCGATGCTACTCTTATCCCTGTTTGCCCATTTTCAACGATGATCTCATCACGCTTTGTACTATACACATAAACCGTGTACAAATAATAGAAACGAGCATTACCTGTTCTTTATCTTGTTGATTTCTTGGCCATAAAGTTGCCGTGAGAAAAATCTCACCTAAATGCTGTCGAGGTCGTGCTGGATCCTTCAGCTCCAGGACGATGTCCTGCGAATGGCCAAGATCTAACTGAGTTAAATCCAACTGGGCAGCACCCATAAAATCATCCTGCAAGCCCCAGTCGTAGTCGAAGACCTAGAAGTAAGAGACGCAAAATTGATGCATAAGAAAGCTTAGCTTTTCTTTGGATTATCTTGTTTATTCAGGTAAACGGATACCTTTATAGTGAGAGGTTGAAAAGGGTCCTCTATGGGAAGGGTCACGCTTTCATCCCAGACAGGGTTCAAATCCCTATGGACAGTCCTAGACTTGTGCAACAATCGTCCGGAGCACTTGATCTTGACGTAAGGATCGCTGGCCCCTAAGGAAGTGATGTCAGGATAGGATTGATGAAGGTCAAGGTAGAGAGGCCAAGCTCAAAAATCGCCAATGCTCAAAAAATGGAAAAAATTGCAAAAATTTAAGAGAGATACAGACCACACCTGTCCATAGCGACGAGGTTCGACCCCCTTCTGATGTGCAATCGTAGTTGGAAGAAGGCATGTTGTCTCAGAGCAAGTTCTCGTTTATGGGACTCTTCATCTTGCAGGAGGATCTCAGTAGCGTCCTGACTCCCTTGACGAGGAAGCCATTCTTTCAAACCTTCATCTCTGGAATTTCGGAACTCGCCACTAACTCCTTCCCAGGAGCCCTCGGCGTTGTCGCCTCGTTGATACCTGCTGCTGCCCTGGCCTGACTGGTTATTTACGACTCCAGCGATCCTTGCCAATGGTGATTCCCCTGAAGAAGATGTATACTGTCAATGTGAATAATGCTATTAACGCTATAATGTAAGACAAATCTTTTATTCACCAGGATGATGACCTAGCGCGTGCCTGGCTGGACTTTGGGTGGCTGAGGAACTTCTACTGTGCTCGCTGGAGTAATCGGCAGCGTAATCACGATCAGATTCTCCTCCAGCAATCCTAGAGTTGGAAGTTCTAATTGAGTCATGAAGCTGACTCGAGGAATCCCTCGATTTCTTTCTCTCCTTGCTGCGACTCCTGGACCAGCGACTCTTAAGAGTCGCGAAGAATGTATGCGTTCTCTGCGCCACGGTCGCGTGTCGATGATGATGATGATGAACGACGCTTGGATGAACGTCTTGACGTATGGATGAAGAGGAGGACGGTTGCGTTCCCACTAAAGGGGACTCTCTACCAGGTATACTATTCTTATCACGAAGTTCTGTGGCACTTCTTGACAGCTGTCTGTTTCCGTTAAGATTCAGTCTCGTTCTTTCTTCAGTTCCAGAGTGATCTACCAATGAGAATAGCCGATTTAAATAAACGAGCAATCAGCTGTCTTTACAATATATTTGATTGAAAACTCACCAGAACTTGGCTCACCGTCCTCCGAACCGGCAAGCAGCTCCACGCTCTTGCTCATCTTACTCGACGATGCCTCTAAGAAGCTTCCGAATCTGCCGATACTTAAGTCGTTTCTTGAATAGTACTAAACCACGTATCGGTAGCATCATTTCCAAGAGTCACAATTCAGGGCATCAGGACTACGACGTTATTCAGTATTTTCTAATTGATAATTCACTAGACCATTTCTCAATATTTTTCCTGACGATTCTAATATATTAACTCCATTGCACGAGGATATTTTAACCATCCCGGACCCCGATCGAGTACGCCAAGAGTCTACTCCGGCATCTGTTTTCATTTTCTACTGCCACTATCAACCACGTCATTCCTACTGAAGTATCTACCGCCATCACCGTTCTATTGCACATTAATAAAACGACCCGGCTCAACTTTATATCGGCTGGATCTTCAGAGACTAAGAGAATCAGTAGAACACGGAGATCCTTGTTGATGAGAAGGAGGTCGAGATGGGACGAGGAGGTGTTATACGATCAGATCAATATGGATACACTATTACCTCTCGAACCAAGCGTGCCGTTAATGATGACCTATTGTTATTTAATTATTTACACGCAGAGTACGGATGCGTATTAATCATGTAGTAATGCGTGCACGGATGCGACAATACTTTCTACATTATCGCATGAATGCCCACCGCTAGTATAATATCAAATCATCTTGCTCAATCTCTTCAGTTCACTGACACTTCACCACTGCACACGCGCCTCATGCATTAACGCCAATTATATCCCTTTTCCGAACCGATCAACTGGAGGAATCACCTTTTGCCTTTACGTTCGCAATCGCACGTGTTCGCCGTCCTCTTGTACTCCAGCCTGCTCTACTCCGACGTCCGAGCGGCCACTGACAGCTGCCATTGCTTTACAGCACGCCTACGAATAGAAGAGAATCGCGCAATGAGAAAAAGAGAATGAAAACGTGCGAGCGAGAAAGAGAGACCACGAGAAAGAGAGAGAGAGAGGAGCTAGCAACGAGGAGGTCAAAGGAAGGAGTACGATGGCGGTAGGGAGTCACTATCGACCCATGTGCCTACACACCACGTTCCGTGAATTTCATATGGTTTTACCTTTTTCCAAGAAATTTTTATCCATCCACTCGTTTCTCCCTCGTTACGTTCTTTGGCTTTTTCTCTGCGCCCCAGACAGCATCTACAGGGAATACCATCAATTAGAAAATATAACGCAAGATTATATATAATTAATTTAGTATTGAAAACCGTGTTGCTTGGACAGGTTGAAAAGATCCCGCCTAAACTCACGGATTTCAATCGACAAAAATAATTTTTAAAATCAATCGTAATACTCTACAATATGCTGCTTGTTCTATTCTTTCAGCGGGAAACTACACCACAGAAATGTGTGGTGCACAGCTTCCCTCGTATTTATAAAACTTGACAAACATATTATCAACAATATGAAACGAGGCTGTACATTGTTCGTTGCGTGCTATTTGTCTGCTTGATGTTTTTCAGCACAGCGAGAATCGCATCGCGTGTTTCATAAGGGTGGAACCGAGGCACCTCATGTCACGTTATGACTACATTATAATATTACATTACAGTAGGTTACTTCACGTGAGATTATTTTAAGTTTTTTAGAGCGAGTATTGGCGAATGTTACAAACAGACGTAATAACAATGAATTTTATTAGGCAATGTACAAAATATCTTTAGCATACACGGTATGCATTAAAACGGATATATAACTATACATATATGTATCTATACAGAAACGTCCTGTGTTCTTTTCAAGACATACGACAAATTAATGGCCGCCAGAAAGAAAATTAAAAACATCTGATTGGATCTTACATAACTATACGTTTCTACATTTCGATTTTGCAAACTGCTGTTCCGTCTATCAGTCTGCCTGCCTACCCATTTTCATTTTGTTTTGAATTGCACGGAGTTGGGTCAAATTAATGGGAAGAAAAGGTCGGAATGTGTAACCGAATATAAAGGAAGAGGGGTATCTGAGAAAGGAAAACTGAGATTACTGTAGTAGGGTAGCTGTAAGAGGAAACTCAAAAAAAATATATAATTAAACTGAAATAAAAGTCTAAAGCTCGTCAGCTACTTTGAGAAATGTGAAACGCGCTGCATGATCACAGGGCTTATAAAAGCTGAACCGTGCGCTTCCGGTTGTTGGGCCTCTTACTCGACATGGTAAAAGAAAAAAAAAATCGTTGATACTGAAAGAGAAAGAATATACATATGGAGATCGTTTGACTAGAATTTTTTTGAAGACAAAGGAAAATCGGAAAACGTAATGCTGTTTCCTTGGCAAACGAGTGATTAACTTAACTTTAATCGACGAGATCGGTAAATAATAAAATATCTTATTATACTACTAGATGTTCCACTAATATTTTTTAATTTTTTATTAGAGAATCATGATAAAAACTAAGCACTTCTGTCGGTAATTATATTCTATTGTACATTGATCGTATCTTTCATTTTACCCCCCCCTTACATTTCATAAAAATTTCAAACAAATAGCTCACGAAGCCACCTTTAGAGTAATCAACAAAGAAATTCTTATTAATCCTTGACTAATTAAAACCGTTAATCGTGGTTTAAGCTACCGAAATATTGTCTTGCTATTTTTATTTCTTTGACAAATTGAAGAAAATAAAATCTCAAAGATAATGGACGCATCACGAGCTGCTATTTATAACCTAACGCTAGAGTGTATCCTATCTGATAAATCAGTAAGATGATCGTGTTTACCTTTTTTTTTTGAAAAGAAAAAATGGACGAAACAAAGGAACATCCTGTTTCCGCATGTCTCTTTGTATACAATGAAAAAGGCGCACGCGCGCGGAAATTAATCCAATGTACAAGGAAACGTAAAAGGTTTTAAAAAATGACTTTTGTAAAGTATTTCGACAATTTCACCTGCTTGTTCTAATAATTCTATTCAGTGTGTAACAATTAGGCAAAGCATTATCGAAGATCAGGGCAAATGCACGAAGTGAAGAATGTGAACACTGTATTTTATTAATACATTTGCAATTTCACGATGATAGCTAAGTAGATAGGTATAAGGAGGTAGGTCGGTAGGTAAGTGGATAGGTAGGTAGATAAGTGGGTAGGTTAATAGGCATGTAAGGTAAATGGACAGATAGACAGGTATGCAGACTGACGGAAGCGCACGACGTGAAAACTTTAGAGAAAAAATTGTAACACGCCGATCCATTTTTTTTTTTTATAGAAACCAAAGTTTGTCATTCGAACATTTTTCTTTTTTTTTTATAAATCGGATAATTCTTCCTTCCGCGAGTAGTAAATTTCCACTATGGCGACGGCGTTGATGATGACGGTCAGGGCGGAGTTGTGTTATCATTACTAATGTTAATAATACACAGCTCTTCACTTTTATATGTCACTCACATAAAGTGAATTTCGTTTTTCATACTGCTGCTGAGAATATTTCTTTAAAATATATTCAAATGACTACTAGACGCCGCTAATAATTATAACTAAGTTTAATCAGATTCTGGGATCGACTGTCACTCGTCATACAATGTTACTGATGATCCCGTTGCACATTCATGTTTCTTCTTCCTTTTCTTTTTTTTTTTCTTCTCTAGTCTCATCTTATCTCTCTTTCATATTCAGTCTGATACGCAGCAACAGAGTCACATAATACACTCATACTTGTACAATCACGCATTCGCTCTGACTTACATATGTATACACAAGCATATGTACATAAAGGTGCATGTACGTATGTAGAAGTCGATTTTCTCTTTTAAATAAGAGAAAAAAAGGGAAGGAAAAAGTAAAGAGAAAAGCCGGTTGAATCACGCGGCAACAAGTTCCTGGGGGACTACAAAAGAAGAGCCTCCGTGTGACTTCACGGATGTACGATTACGCGTACCAGGATAAATCCCAGTGTCTACACAAGGAGTATCACGAAGAGAAAAACGTCCCATTTTTTATTGGCAGCATTGACAGAACTCGTCTCAAAGAGAAGTTCACCAGGTGCTACCACGACCCCGTGCCCTGAAGCCGCCACCGCCGCCGCCACTGCCTCTGAATTGTCCGCCTCTTTTAAGACCTCTTGGCAAGAAGTTGCCCACAGGCGGACCTCGGGTAAGGCCGGTTCTGTCCATGAGCCACGGTGCACCACGTGCTGCCCCACGAAAGCCTGCTCTACCACGAGGTGGTCCACCTCGCCAGGGAGCAAATCCACTGGAACTGACTGCTGGCGGGTGTCCTGATGCACCACGTCCTCGAAAACTTCCTCCTGGGGATGAATTCGTGGTTTCATAATCGGGGAGCCCTCCGCTGGAATGAATTTCGGACACTGGAGCAGCTTGAGCCGGGGAAAGTGTTGCTGGAAGATTAGATGGAAGCGAAGAGAGAGCGCCACCTGTTAAGGAAGGCCCATTTGGCAATAAAGTCCTTTTCGTCTTCTTCGCCGCTGGTGAACCATCTGGTTCCTGTTGGCTATGCAAATCCGATTCGAAATTACCATTCGCCGATTGTCTCTTTTGATCGTTCCCGGTCGCGACCGACTTACTCGAGGAATTCATTATCGCCTCGAGCTGCTCTGACAGCTGGTGCTTGGATCCCGATACTTCGCTGTCCTCGGCATGAGAAATGTCTGCAGCTGTTGACTCTTCAATTTTATCCTGTTCGTTATTTTCAACATTCGCCACTTCATTATCTACAACATCCTGTACTGCGCCCTCTGCTGGCTCTATCGTCACCGTCGACACCTCTTCCGAAGATTTTCCTTCTAACATCTCTTCGTGAATTTTATCGGTACTCTCTAGTAGTGTACCTATGTCATTTATTGTCGTCTCTTTTGCGTTTTCATCTTTCACTGACTCCTCTGTCTCCAGTCTTCCTTCTTTCATTGGCTCAATTTCAGACTCTTCTTGCCTAACATCCTTCAGATCCGATCTCATTTCTGGATCTGACTGCTGGTCGGCTTTTGGAACATCCTGATCCTGGTCTGCCGTGTGTGAAAATTCGACATTCTCAATATCCTCGAAGAAACAAGGAGACTTTAAGCTCGCATGGTGATCCGTGTTTCCTGTAGGTTGTTGAGGCATTACCACTACAGGAACTTGTTGATTTGGTCCACTACGTATGTGATCAGAGTTCTCTGCTCGAGTACTGGGAGGTGGCACCTGCTGATCCGTTGATTCTCCCATCGAAGGAAAACCAAAGTTCGTTCGCTGATGAGAAGAGTCATAGGAATAGGCATTTCCTTGTTGATGTTGATGTTGTTGGTGATGCTGTTGTATTCTACGATCGAGACCAAAACCCATAGGGCCACTATGATTCTCTCGCACGAATCCAGCATGTTTTGAATAGTCATCTTGACTGATGAGGTCGCGTAAGTTATTCGGCGTGTTGGATAAACGAAGTTCCATATCCGGCATTCCAATTGGCATCCCCTCCTCGTCCAAAATAACGACAGTGTCTGGGGGTTTCAGTAGTAGAGGACGATTATTCGGAAGAATCTCTGGCGAAGAACCTTGCTGCTGATCTTGAGATGCTCTGGAGCGTCGATTCAGTGGTGTGTTACACTGTTGCTGCTGAAGCATATTATGATCTTCGGAAAATCTATCACGTCGATTTCTAAGATATCCTCGAGCACGACTTGAAATACCACCACCTCTTTCCATTCTTGGAAACATAGGGGAATCACGATGATGAGGGTGATGATGATGATGATGTTGCAGCTGCTGATGTTGATGCTGTTGAACGTGATGCATATGTAGATGATGGTCCATCTGTTGATGCTGTGACTGTGGTTGTTGCATCGATGGCAAAGGAGGCGGTGGTGGTAGTGGAGGTGGCGGTGGTGGTGGAGGTGGTGGTGCACCGGCTCCGCTTCCTGGAGCCGATTGTTGCTGTTGGAGATACCGTCGACGAGAATCCCCATGAAACTCCTGACTTGATCGTCTCGCATGTTGCATCTCGCGAAAGTCATAGTCATTCTGCTCCTGGCGGAAGTTCGGTTGACCTTGACGAAAGTCCTGGGGACCACGATGAAACTCTTGCGGGCCGGACGAAAAATTTGGCCCTTGTTGATGGTGATGAAAGTTTCCTGGATTAACTCGATTATGCGGATTGTTTGAACGAAAGTCCGATGGGTGGCTCTGGTGAAATTCTGGCGGGTTTTGATGATTCTGATGAAAGTTGGGAGGCTGTTCCTGATGAATGCCATGTACGTCCCTGGGCTGATTATGCACAACACGCATATCCATGTCCAGATGATGGTCTGATTGCGGCATTGACAAGATCCGTATGTCACGATCCTGTCTTGTGGGTTCCTGAGATCTGACGTCCACAAGAACTCGTGCCTTCTGTTTGCTGTCTGTCGTTTCATCATCAGACATTTCCATGTCGACGCTCTCGACGATATCACCGGGTTGCATTTGTTGACTAAATAAGAAAACAATATTAAATAGCCCTTCCTGCGCTGGCATGAACTTCATAAAAAAACCTTTAAATTGAACTCACCGATAATCTTGATCAGTATTCGACCACAAACTATTTCCTGTCGTTAGAACCGTCGGGGATGTCTCGTGCGAATGTCCATGATTTGCTGGACTACCAGTTAGACTGATAAGATTCCGATGATCAACATCGGCAACCTTCATCAATCGGTGTGATAGTTGGTTCTCCATAGCCAAGGGCACAGGAATGACTCTGCATAAGATAAGAAAATGTCAAATGTTGTAAAACAAACTTATTATCAAATTGATTGCCAGCTTAGAGCCAACCTATGGTCGACGTCGCCACTGCTGCTAAGAAGAGGTTCCTGGGCTCGCGAGTCATCATATTCGACAACTGGTTCTGTAAATCCGGATTTTTCATAAATTGGAGGTGACTCTGGCGTCTCTGTAAGGACTTCGTTTTTCCCTCGCAAGATGCTCGACCAGGCAGAGTCACTTTCACCTTCCCATCGTTCATTGGGTCCCTCCAGCCACTGATTACCTTTAGGTTTTTCGTCGTTCTCACTAACCCACGATCCAGCATTAACATTAATATTCACATTGTTCTTTCCTGTAAAAACAATTAACTCATTCAAATTCTGTTAGCAAATTACTTTAAACTATTAGAAATTTTATTTATAGTTGTAGAACTGTATGTACCTTTCTCATCCCACTTAACAGAATCCTTGATAGGTTCATTGGCGGGCATCCACGTGGGGAACTTTGGTGGTAGCTTATTGTAGCAATTCTCATCGTCGAGGAAGATTGGAGGTGGTAAAGGAGGAGGAGGTAAAGGATTTACAGTATTGGTCGAAGATTCAAATCCCATTGGTACAGTCACATTACTCTGACTGTTCTGACTCGAGTACGGCGAAGGTGTGTGCGACTCTCCAGCAACTGGATTTCTCATGGAGAGGACACCACCATGAGCGAGCTGATGATTGTTCAGATTACCAAGACCAGCTAGGTCGGCCGAAGTATTCACCGGAAGTTGACCAATGTTCGGTGAATTTCTATAATCTGGTCGTTGAGGAGACTCTGTCCGGCTTCCAGGAAGGTCCAATCCCAATCCAGGTATGCCGCTAACATTAGCAGTCCTACTATCACTAGACGGAAGGACTGTCCTGAGGAAACTAGATATGTTGAAGTTTTCCTCATTTCCGCTTGAGTTGATGTTCAACTTCTCCGTCTTGGACGGCCGCATATTAATCACCTCGATTGGCTTGGCCTAAAAATTTCAATAAAGGATACCATATATTATACCCATTTTAAATGTTTCTATGACTTTAAACAAATATGTTACAATTTACAATAATTCATTATAATACACTCCGTAAGGGATTAACTTACTTAACTCAGGGAATTTAACCAATATTATAATAAATGTTACTACATTTCGGTACTACCTCCAACGAGTCATTATACTGGCTCGCTCTTGTCGGTGTTGATGATCTATCACTGAAGAGGTTCCTCTGTAAAAAATTAATTAATCGCAATTACAGTACATTATATATCTCTTTCGATTCTAGATTATGGTTTTATTCTGTTACCATATCGAAGTCCATGTTGCCTCCTATAAATGAGGCAAAATTGTTGGTGAAATCCCCGGAGACATTCCCCTGATTGATATCCGGAGCTGGTACCGGCATAGGTTCATAATCTTGCCGATAAGAGCCGTACATTGAAGGTGGAGCTACATCAAGAATAGCAGATATATTAGCTTGATTCTCATCTCCTGGAAGATCGATGTCGCTGTCTGGACTGGGAGATGGTGCGTTCACATCCGGCGATGGAATTGGAGAAACCAGCGTAGGTAAAAGCTCGTCAAGTTTCTTTTTTAAATTCTTTACACGGCTACCGAAGTTCCGATAAGCCTGTAATGTAGAGAAATAACTTTAATACAAAACTTACAATCATATCATAGAATCCACTTCTTGATTTTCTTTTAATAATAGGTTCTCTTTTAATTTCATTACTCGTAAGGTCACTTACATTTGTCACTATCTTGACCTCGCCACGTTGTGTCTCATAAAATTGATCCGCTTGCTCTAACAAGTCCAAAACCTGAGTTCTCTCTCGGATTTCAGCCTCAAGAGCGCGCACATAGTTCTCAACATTCTTGACAGCAATGTCAACTTCTTTCTCAGCGTCTTCAACATGCCGTCGATCTTTTAAAGATGCACAAAGCTCTTCTGCATTGTCTATATCTATATTGCTTTGTCGTAAATCACGTAATCTAGCATCAGTAGCTTGTTCCAATGTTGCACAGGATCTCATAGTTGAGATCAACAATGCAGCCTGAAACTCTTCAGTTGAGCCAGTTTGTTGGGCATCGAGTTTCTTCTTTGGGGCAGCAGATATTAAGCCAGACAAATCGGTGAGAAATTCTTCATCATACACCTGTCTCTGGTCCCAGATCTTGAAGATCCGTAGAATACGATGTTTGACCTTCTCATCACGCACCATCGTGGTTGCTCTTTGTAGAGTGGTACCCCACGACTCAACAAACTCAAAGTTCTTTCGTTTTGAATATTGAATGACATCATTGGCCAAATAGAAAAGAGTTAGTCGATGTTCAACTTTAACTAAAATAAAGCCAGGAACATATGAATTAAGAAACCTGTCAAGAACCTTATACAGAATTCAAAAAGCAACTCACCCTTCTTTAAAACCTGCAACCAAGTAGCAACAATCTTCTTGTGATGTTGTCGTCTCTCAAGACACCACGCTGATAATCCTTGTATAGATTCTTGCGAGTCTTTGAGTGAAAGAAGTCTTCGCTCAAATAGCTCAACATCAAAATCACCTGTAGCCATGGTTCCAGGATACCAGTTACATACACTGACACGCACACGCACAGGCGCGCGCGCGCGCACATGCACGCACACACGTAAACTTGTACAAACAGAGGCACGCACGCACTCAGAATTATGGCTAGTGCAGGAATTCCATAATACAGAAAATCGACAGCTTAGCCCACCGACAGGCAGATATCAATGTGTTAATAGTAGCCCTCATATTATGTGCAGCTAACCCTCAACACTGAATAACCTAACTGATTAGAACCTACTAAGTTGACTGTCAGTTTTAGGTTCTTTGTATCTTTTGCACCAACTGTGATCTTTATACAGTACTGGATCTAGAGTCTTGATCTAGATACAAACGCAGAGGACCGGACACGAGGAACAACTACTTTAAAGGTAGCCAAGTACTGGTTACGTAGTGAAAATCGTTACTGCGGAGTTTAATTCGAATTGCAAGTGCATGTGAGGTCAACTCACTGGTCCTGAAAACCAGGAGATGCACCTGGGGAAACTGAAAAACCTTCCGGGAATGTATCCGGGCCGATTGTGATACTCGCCGATGTATTCTTCTTTGAACGAGAATTCAGTCTTCCAGGTTGAGTCGCTGGTTATGCACAATGGTAATAGAAACACACTTTGTAATAGTAACACTAGCAATGGTTGATTCGATTTTCGATTTTCGCGTTATTACATTTGAAAAACTCAAGTCTTCTCTGATTGTGAGGCCGATCGCGAAAACAAGACACCGCCATCTTTCTTGAAGCAAAACACGAGCACGCAATGGCCGGCGAACGGCGCTGAGGCGCCGAAACCAGCCGAAGCGCTACCTGAAACTCTAGCCTGTTCTAACTTCCTACCTCAGATACTACCAACAGGGGTGCGTTCAAAAACCTTACTTCAGATAATTTTGGCACGTTGCATCTCTCTTTACTAGCGTTACTACAAGGAAGATAGAACGATACCAGATTACACTTTATTGAAGTTTCTGAGCGTACTGCAGGAGTTGCATGTTATGCACTTTTTAACCAGTTTTGCCGATCATTAGCGATAATATAAAGTCCAATAAAAATCCGTAACATAATTGGTACTTTTCTATATTTGTAAAACGCAGTTCTACGATTAATAATACTTAGGTTTATGGCCAATGAAGGACGTTCTAGCCTAGTAGATTGATACTCGGTTTCTCTTGTGCAATTCTCTTTATTTATGGATCCAATACCTCACTTTAATAAAACTTGATCTTTGAGGTAAGTTTATTATTAAGATGTTCCATCGTTCTTATTCTAGTTCATTTTTGAACCATGACTATGATTTATTTTTCATCTTAGAAAAGAACCCCATCATCTGAACAAAGAAGTCTTCTTCCTTGAAAGCCACTCGAAGATACTGGACAGTTTGAAACATATTTAAATGAGTACGATAATAGAGTATTAATAGTATAATGGAGAATGAATTAATTGATACTCTTCAATTTCACTCTGGAAATGATATGGCAACATCTATAGTTTCCAAAGAACCAAGCAGTTCACCAAATGATTCAGATGTTGAGGATGATAATTATTATGAAGATATTGATTTTGATCAGGACTCTGATATTGAGAAACAGGTTCATCCACCACCTCTTCTTACTCCGTCACAGCTTTGTGCTTTAGCAAACTCAGTACAACCAGAAAGTCAGGCACTGCCATCTGTTTCCAATGATTCTGATACTGTTGAAATGCTTGAAGAGAACAATAATGATCCTAACAATAATCTTGATGCAGTTCAGATGCTTGGACAAAATCAGAATTTATCTATAAAGTTAGATATACTCTCCATAGAGGAATCTCATTCAAGGACAGAATCTGCTAGTTTGGATTCACCGAAGCCAGGTTGCAGTAAGGATTCCTATTACGAAGAATCAAGATCTGAAAGCCAATGTCATAGTCCTTCTCAGACTCCTATTCCCAGTTGTTCCTTCACTTCTTCCCATTCTTCTTCCACATCAGTATCAAGCTGCAGAATTATTTCTTCGTGTTCAACAACATTTCCTACATCATCACTATCAAATGGACACACATCACTGGATACCACTTGCATACTGCCTAATCAAAATTTCTCACATGAAGTACATTTACCTGTTCATCGCTTAACAGAATCTAAGGATTGTTACAATGACACTGATGAAGATGAGGACAATGATGATATCCAGAACAATAAAGTTGAGGTCAAATCAAATCCTACCTTACCTGTAAAACGGAGATATCGTGATGATGTGTGTACAACAAAGCCAAAAAAATTAAGCTTAATAAGTAGAGAAAAATCGCACGAAAGTCTAGTTGGTGGGTAAGAAAACTCTGTACCCTGGGACATTATAACATACACCATTAATCAAAATTTTAAATGTCCTTTGGATTTTCAAGAGTTTCTTGAAAATCAGGTGTGTGTAAACTCGTTATTATGGGCAGCGTGAGATTATATGTGTACATGTATTTGGACTTCTAATCCCAAATTGCTGTTATTTAGTTCTATGATTGTCCAACTCATTCAACCTTTGATACTTTATGTGAGATATTTCACAGAGCGGGGATAATTACCGCTACAGTCACAGTTATGACTGCTTTCTGTTTGTTTGAAAGATTGACAAATATTGTAGAGAAGTTATAAGTTCGAAGAGAAGACATTACTGTTAAAACGTAAGGAGTCAGCGAGGAAAAGGGACTCACGCAAAATAGTTCAAGATAATCTACTCCAGGGCAAGACCTCTAAAACCAGTTAAAAAACCTAAGTTCTTTTACACAAAGAAGATGAACTTAAAAGTGGTACGTCATCTATTTACTGTGAATAAAGCTGTAAAAAGAAATTCTAGAATGTCTTCATCAATTTCCCAGCTGTGTCGGATGATTATGTTGGTCTTCCTAGTCCTGGCGTGTCTCACTTGGAGTGTGAAAAGTCAAGGACAATCACGGAGAGGTGAAAGACCCAAGAAAATCTCAAAACCACATCGTACTCCAGGACACTTTTCTGGCGTACGCATTTTCTTCAATCAGTAAAAAAAATTAGTGGTACGTGTTTAATAATTAAATAGCCATATATCTTAGAAAATCAATGAAATCTTTCGCTTGCAATGATATTACCAATCCTAAGGTAGTATTTGTTCAGCAAATTAGGAATAATTTTTGCGTCATCTGACAAAGTATTAATAGTTGTCGACGTTCCGGGTGTTTCCTTAGTCTCCCAGAAGACACCTACGCCATAAATTGCGTTCCTTCTTTTACAAAGATGAAGTATTCCATCATTGTAAGTTTCTTCCGAATTTTTATTGCTTGTAATTTTCAATGTTGTATTTCATTTTGTCCCATGGCCTATTTTATTATTTGCAATCAGTGCTATGCACTGTGCATAAGCAAATTTGATCCTCCAACACTCCCATTGCGGTCTTAAAATATCCCAGATTTTTCATTTTTCGCACCACTACTGGAACAACTTTTTTCAACATTATTTATTTATTAATTGGCCATGAATTTAAGCAATAAACCAAATTAATTCTCTTAGCCATATGTATAAACAAATATGTTTCCTAGTGCAGAATAATATTTTTGCATTGATCATTAATATATTGCATTACCAAAATCGGGTCTTTACGGCTCCCATGCAAGTAGTAGTGTTATGAAAACTGATGCGACTGCTGAAGGATTAATTATTATAATTCTTTTCATCTTCACTATAATTATTGTTTGCATCGAAATTATCAAATTAAAATAGGACATTCTTCTGTTTCCAGTTATCATTTTGCGTGATATTTGCTTCGATGTTGCCGCAAAGTGCCTTATGCCAATTTTACGGAGGACCTGGGATAGGTCCAATTAGATTGGGTATATTCGGGCCACCACATCTTCCTCCTCCACCACCACCACCACCACCACCGCTATACTACGGTGGTTACAGACCGATTTATGTGAGAGTGGGATACCATCCATATTTTTAAATTGAACTAATTTCCTGGAACTAAAGAGATGTATATGTCGTCCTGGAGTACATCAATAAATGCTTGAAAAACAACTCAGGAATATTAGTGACTAATGTTTAATCAAAAACCCGTTAAGTATTTATCATACGTAGATGCGAAAGACCAAGGTAAATGTCTAGAAATCATATTATTAGTCAAACAAATTATCAGAGACTTCTGTTCCTCCTTTCTACTTATAATAAAAGCGCCTCCTCTATGATTTGTCTTAGTTAAAGATTTGACGTTGCATGAACGTCAACTGTGCCTCACCTTGTTTTTTAAACATAATATTTTATAAAGGCAATGAATATGAGTCTGCATTGGACTGTTTACGTGAGTTGAGATATTATTATTAATTTCTTTTATGTAATATGAATTTGTTCGTAAAATCTTTAATATAATTTATAGTTCCTTCTCTGGTTTATCCTGATACCTCATCTAGTTCTTTGCCGACATGGCGGTGGACATTTTGGAGGTGGACATTTTGGAGGTGGCCATGGATATTTTGGCGGTGGTGCACATTTTGGTGGCGGTGGACGTCCCTTTATAGGTGGTGGACATCCCTTCATAGGCGGTGGAAGACCCTTCATAGGCGGTGGAGGAGCCTTCTTAGGCGTTGGAATATACCGCGCGAGTTATTGCAATCCTTTCTATTATTACAGACCCTACTATTGCAGTTACTATTACTGAATGTTCTATATCATCTGTCATGGAACTTCAAATACTGCTAAGTGATTAGTTAGTAATACTGTTAGTTGTTAGTGATACCAAATAATTGATATAAGATTTTATAAGTGTAAATATAGTTCAGTCAACATGTTGCCAACATTCAGAAAAAATAGACACACGGATATCCTTCTAAAGATTGCATAGAGTTCCTGAGTTATGTACTAAAATGTTTGACTACAATAAATTCTGATAAAAGAACGAAAAGAGAGTATTCCTTTATAATATAAATACCACATCAATTAATTTAATTAATTATTGATTCACGTATCAGCAGACAATTGATTAAAAAGTTGTGTCACTGCTTAAATCTTAATTTTTCAAATGCTTTTAGGGCAACATAAATAATGGGCACATTGTATTAGTATTATCTAATTCAAAAATTCGAAATGTACTATTTACTCAAGGGATTCAGTTATGGTTGTGAAAGTAATCCATCTATCTAGAAGGGTGCTGCTTCCTTCAGTACGTAATGTACTATATTTGTCAATTTTCAATAAAATACTTGCAAAAAATTATATGTCTCATTATCGAATAATTATTTTTCTGTTTCGTGTAACAAGTAAAAAATAGGAGATCGTGAAAGTATGGAGCAATGCAAGAAATAGAGGATACACTTAAGATTGACAATCGAAGGTTAATCGTGTAATGACTTTTTATTAATTGAAAAATCAAGGAAACGAGAATACAGACGTGGGCAGCGAAAAGGTTGTGCGATGAACGTTCCGCGTCCCATTGATCCCAACGCGCATTCTTCTTACAATACAGTTGAGTATAGCATTCCACTATATTACATCGCATCACATTTGAGTATGCATTTCTCAATAAATATTGCCCTTAAAGGTAAAGGCATTGCGTCAGTTCAACCCGTTGGCATCGACGGGACGGTCGCTGTCATTTCCTGTCGATATTAGGTGTTCCTTGTCGCCGTCGGCTTTCTGTCAGCCCCTCTTCGCTCTCAGCTCTCATGTGAGAAAAACCATAATGCCAAATAAAACGGCTTACACGACTTACGAATACAATTATTATAATATAAATAGAAATAGCTGGCACATATACAAGGCATCCCAAACATTACATTCTGGTGTAATCGCAAAGAGTCGTCTCTTAATATAATCCTCCATATTTTATTCGACTTTCTCTCAATACGGTATTAATTATAAATTTTTCACAGTTGGTATTTTCTGGTTAAACGTGTACTAGCTCTGTGTACGTTTATTTCTTTTCCTATTCTTTCGCCAAGAATCTTGTCATTTATTCCTTTGCGCTGTTTTAAGATTAGCCACACCATTCTCTTGTCATCTTTTTCTCTTATCGCATCAATATTATCTTTATCAAAAAATTCCTCTCTTAATATAAACCGGCTGGCGGGCAACCACGCATTGACTTATCACCTTTCGTTAAAGTCCACTTTTTCCATTAACATCTCACATTACAACCTTAAGCACCATTTAAGTTGACTCCGCATGAGCTGTGAATCTTACTATAATTCTTTTTTTCTGTTCAATGGTATTCCTTCTTTTTTTATAGTTCCCCGTAAAAATACTTCTCTCGCCCTGAACGTAACGCGGCCGATTATAGCAACGAAGGACTCTTCGCACATGTTCTTCAACTTTAAAGTAGGATGATCAAAATAATTGTTTGATGTCGCGTTTAGGATTTCATTTCAGCGTCTCACGCACACTTGCAAAACAAAATTAGTATTCAATTAAGATAGGAACAAACACCATGAATAGACAGAGAGAAAGTAGAGAAGAAAATGACACAACAGCATGCTATAGAACGAATCAATAAAAAAAAAAAAGAATAATTGTACAACAGCGTAAAGGCTTGATGATGGATAGTAAAAAATAAAGAGAGAGCTTGAAGTAGGACTAGAAAATTATTATTAATATTGAGTCAAGGGATGAACCACCCTAAATACATATTAAACTAAACAAAAGAATTGAATCTAATTGTTATATAACGTCACTCAAGAGATTTTATTGACGAAGAAATAGAACATATAATAGAATGATTAGCAAAAATAAAATCAGGTATAGTAATAATTTGTAACATAATAACATAAATAAAAAAGCGCAATTCAGCCTGATACGTAAGAAAATAATTTTTCATATTTTTTGTTATTCTTTCTCTTCATTTTCTCATATGTTTTTGAAGGATACAAGGAGCGCGCGTAGTCTCTACGTGTATCTCTAGTCTCTAGTCTCGTGTCGCTGCAAAGAACTGGCTAGTAACTCTAAGATAATCCATAACGCTCATCCTCAGAAGGAGTTATATTGTGTCTTTGTAAGTATAGTATACGAATTTCAGCTAACAATAAGCTAACGCCTAAACATCTAGGAGTCGCTTCAATTAATATCTTCCTTTCGATAATTTCATCGTTTAGTGGATGGATGCATATGACACTTGTTGTATTAAGTGATTGGAGTACGAAGTTATGAGAGAGAGTATTCCATAATATGTCCTTCATTCATCCTTATGCCCAGAATAGTCTTCGTTAAATGACATCGTCAACGTTGAAGTGCATTATTCATTTAATGTCATTATTAGCTATTATTGTTACTTTGTATCTCTTCATACTATCTTAAGGTACACATATATACTTTTCATCTTTTTTTTTTTAATATCTTGGTTTGACGTATTGCCACCGATTTACATAGCTTGTTGAGAATTTGTTTCTATCCGTCGCATTCGCTTGTTTGTCAAGTATTTATATGCCTGACTCAAATGGAAAACTCTCAACAACATATTCCGTAGTATTCTACATATGTCTAGGCTCTCTAATCCACTAGTGGACAAGGATACATAGAGAGAGAAATAGAAAGAAAGAGAGAGAGATAGAGAGAGAGAGAGAGAGAGAGAGAGAATGTAGTAGTACAGTGAGAAAAAGAGAGTGGAAATATAGTTGGTGGGAGTTATCCTTGTTTCTTTTGAAAAAAAAAATTTCCATAGCAATTGGCGAGACTTCCAGCTCATCAAAGAGTTCTATAATCGCGATCACTAATGGTATAGTTATGTGGTATTATGTATGTTTAGCTGCGGAGCATCGACAGCGGCGTAATCAGAATATCAGCATAATGACGTGTCGACTCTGAATCGCTTACTAATAGTGGTGTTGTGTTATAATAATATTACAGGTATAATATTTAATAAATAGGTTTTACGCCGAACATATTCAATTCTCAATAGTAATTGTGATAATAATAATAATTATATAATAATAATTTAATTTAATATATTATTACCGAATGATCGCGTAATTTTTATAAGCTAGACGTTTAGCTTTACCTTGAGGCTAGCTGGTGTTCTTCTCCGAAGTGTCTTTTTTCGTGTCGCTTCCCAACGCTGAGGAAATACTCGTAGAGCATCGCGAAGGGTCCTGGTGAGATTTCCTTATCGTGCCCATTATCCTGTCTCCTTTATCATCCTTGCCGATCTGAGTTTTAGATCTGCCAATTACGCCCATTGTTCCACTGCCACTACCGCCATCACAGTTGTCTGAGTTACTTCTGGATTCCATTAGACTATAAGTGCCTTCTTGCGTGGAATCTGATCCTTCTGCTTTACTTATTATACCCTCTTTCATCAGGACTTGCTTGAATGTTGACAGCGTTTTACGTAGTGTGATACAAAACCCTCGGGATGCAGGTATCAAAGGAAACTCCGGCAAAATTTTCTTATCTGTGAATAAGAATTGATCAATACGATAACACTGGAATTATTTAAAAGTTATATTCAAATCAAAAAATTTTATTTCACGTATAAATTAGAAAAGCTTATAAGGTAGATATTATATGTACGAACCATAGTTAGCTATTTCTTTGAAGGTTGTTGGTGTCACTGGTGAAAGCGGATGTTGATTATTATGTTGCTCCGATATCTCCATCCAGAGATCAAGCCTTTGAAGAAGCTTGTCTGCATGCCTTTTGAAATGAGCTGTGATAATGTCGTTAAAGACAGATGATGGATGCTGAAGAAGCTTCGTCTGAGCTTGAACCAGTTTCAAAACAACCATTTCATTATACATTCTTGAATTTTCACGACCTTGCTGTGTACCCTTCTGCTTCTCGTAACCGGCTTCGTTGAAATAAGGCTCGGAGACAAGAATGAGACCTTGAATTGACACAATTACCTGAAGAAGAGTCGAGGAACTGGTCCAGACCTCGGTTCCACGACCTGCCCAGGTACCTAATAGACTCACGCAAACCTTTCCATCTTCGTAGAGGTTAGGGTTGAGCCTATCACTACAGTAGGAGATATAATGACATAATGGAGGCGCTGCAGGATAGTCTGCAGAAAGTTGAAAGTCGAAAAGAAAAAGACCATCTTCATAGGGTGTTTTTTCAGGGCCACGAAACATCACCGAGTACAAATCTATCCTATCTTCGAAACCCTTTACCCAGATACCTGGGGGAAGTGAGCTTCTAAGCAGTTTTAGCTCCTTCGAGACCGTTCTGAAGAAATTCGAAGGATCGGTTGGTTGAAACATTGTTAGCTTGAATTTATGGCTATCCGGCGCAATCTCGTCTATAGAAAATCCTTCCCCCTCGGTATAAACGAGTGGTGGGATTTCTACGGATGATTCGGAAGGTTCCGGTGATTCTGTCGGAAGTTCCACTGGTTTTTCTTCTTCCTTCTTCTGTTTCTTCTGAGGAGATGTGTTTTTTGCAGCATCTGAGAGTGACATCCTCGAAAGGCCAAATCTCTTAGAGACTTCAGCATGAGCCAGAACCAACTGAGCTTTTATTAAAGTACAAAGCTTGACACACACGTGTGAACTAGCCACGTGCGAAGATGAAATATGTTCCTGAAACGTTGCAGTCTTTTCAATTTTAGTAGCCTCCTCCTTCTCTAGTTTCGCTGTTTCCAGACCCGGAGAACGATCTGCCAAATTATTAACATCTTCACTAAGCAGAAATTCACCGCTAGATTCACTTGAACCTGATTCCTTCTTTGAGTTTTCAGCTGAAAAAAGTCCAGAATCCTCAGGATTTTGATTGATTTTAATAAAAAGTCGATTGATTTCTTCCTCTTTTCCCTTGTTCACTTGATCCTTAGAGTTTGTTTTTTTAGCATTTCCAGCTGCTTCCACTGTATCGGTAATCTTCGAAGCAATCGTTTCCAGGGCGTTATTTGCATTTTGAATGCTGTTAGTGTTCTCAATATTGTCTTGCTCAGCATCAATCTCTACTCCTCCGGATTGATGAGTAAACAACCTGGTAACTTGATCAGCCATCCTTTGAGCAACGTTAGCTCTTCCGCGTTCTCGTACTCGTTCCAGTAAACCTTGGAAGTGGCTTTCATGGAAGAATGAAGTTCCCATCAATTTATCCATATATCTGCAATCCTTGTACACTTCCAGGAGTTTTCTCATGACCTCCGTGGTTTGTAATGATGGATTTTGCGTGAAAATCTCTTCGAGCCTAGACATAGCGATTCTGGCTTTCTCAATATGAGCTGCGAGTTTTGGTTTGATATTTTCAGTCTGCTCGGTGCCGTCATTGTCGGCTATAAAGCAATCTTCAAATTCCGTTTCCCACGATCCTCCTGAGGACACGTCATCCCATAGCTCTCCCTCATCGCTATCATACTCACCAATTTTATAAAGATCCTGCGGCCAACACATGCTCACGTGCCCATCAACCCACCAAACCTTCACTCTACCCTCAGGGTAATTGTCTAGAACCTGACCCGCGGTGCAGCCTGCATCCTCGCCTTCGAAATTTGCTATTCGAATGACCAGGGTGCCCGGTCTGTACTGAAAGTCAGGATGGTCCTTGAGATCATAAACACTCACTTCGCGTTCCGCTAATAAAGTCGGCTGGGGACTCTGACTTGATGTGTACGTCCTAAACCATTTGACTTTGGCTGTGCGACCTTGGTGATCTACACTTTGAACTACACCATACATCCTGGATTCTTCTTTCTGATCCACGACAAAGTCTCCAGGGAAAAACTCTTGATCATCTAAATGGTGGATGGGATAAAGCTGTGTGGAAGGAATTCCCAATTCTACTGAACCGTCTTGCCAAACAACATTAGCTTTAGTACTTGTAGAGAGTGTCTCCACGACAATTTTAGTTCCTGGTATCAAGGGCACTGATGGTACCTTTTTCTTGGCCTTGCACAGTTTCTTCTTCTTGAGGACCTTTGTCATTAGTGCAGGACCCTTCTTCTTTTTACCGGTGGACGTTACACTAGAGCATCCACTAGAGACTGAAGCTGTATCACTTTGAGATCCCGTATCTTCAGAATCCCAGTCATCAGAACTTTCAGCGTTCTGATTCTGTGAAGATGGCATTAGGCTATTATTCGTTGAATTTTGTACGTTGTCTGTGTTTATATTATTTTGAAAATTAATCTCCCGACGTTCACCTAAGATTTTCGGTTCGTTTGATTTTTCTCTATTTTTCTTATCTTCTGCAGGTTTAGTTACATTAATATTCACGCGAGTCTTCCTAGGACTGTGCTTAGGAACTTGGAAAATATCTCGTTGCTGCTTACGCCATTGCTCCCGGGTGATGACATTTTCGTTCCCTTTGATCACGTAGAAATTCCGATCTCCTACCTGTAGTGTGGACGGCTCAAAGACATTCAATAACTTAAGTTTCTTTAAATCCTCTCCCTCCACTACGAATTTGGGTTGAGTTTGATCTGTACCAGCTCCATCCTTCGAATAGGCTCTGCATTGCCAGTGCACTCCTACCCAATCTATTTCCACCTTCTCGACAACCACTTTTGTGATTTTTTGAGGTTTTACTTTCCGCTTTGCTTTCATTTCTTTGCTGCACTGAATCCACTGTGCATCTTCAAGACAGTGCACTGGTCCCCAGAGACTTTGACCAGGGTAAAACTCGGAAGAGTGAGGAAAATCATTATCCTATGAAAGAAACACAGATTTAATGAAATTCAAGTACTGTAAATAATAGCATAATAAAGCAACAATGCCCACATTATCTCGCTTTTCTTCAAATTGTTCCAAGGCTCTTGCATCCATTTCATTTAGGACACATCGCGAACCATCAGGGGTAGCCAGCCATAACTTGAAATGGACCATCCTGATACCTCCGACCCAGGAATCCATGCACACCGCAATGTCTGATGCAAATTCCTGTAGAGATAGAAGTCCCTGTAGCGTGCAACGAGAGACTCTTCCAGGAAGTTACTGGAGTACTACCGGCGTACCTCCAAGGGAACCAAATCTTCACTCCTGATGTTTGTAAGGACCTGTTTAGTACCGATGACTTGTAAACAGGCAGTGAGCTCAATGTCTCTGCAATAACCCCTCTGTGTATCCTTTCCCTTGATCATACGTCTTACAACATCACCAGGCATCAGTGTTCTATCAGCAAGATGTACCTATAGACAAAAATACGGCAATGCCGTACAATTTTTTTCATATCTCTCTAGTTAAAGTTGATATTTGAAGCAGGCGCCAGCGCTACAATCACGTCGGACATACAAGGGCAAACGAGATGCTCAAAGTATATAACAAATACGATAATCCAACCGTACAAAGAAGTACCGCTTCCAAACTTAAATAATAGTACCTAGCTATTACAATTCTGTGTGAAAAAAAAAGAATCAAGTGGTCCTTACCTTTTTCGAATTGACGACTTCCTCGACGCCGGAAGGATGCCATACCGTGCGAATCTCACCCTTCTTGCGCTTAGGGCTTTCCTCACTGTCGAAGCTTTCCTCCGAGGAATCAAGGTCGTCGTTCTCCATAACGATTCCAAACTCGACGTTGCCCCGTTTGTCCACACGATAAACGACATCTTCGTAAAAGTACTGGTGTTCAGCCGCCGCAACATTTGTAGCCATCTTTCCCACAGAATCACAGATTCTCGTTCCGTCGACGACGGTTGACAGGACACGTTACAGCGCAAGGCTCACGGTTGCCTACCGCGCACCAGCTGCGACGCAGCCTCGAATCTTACGACTCTAACACCAACTGACCTCAACCCAAAGCCTAATCCGACCAAAAACCTAAAAACAGGTTCACTGTTTCCACTGTGAAATACAACCTAAGAAAATTCCTTGACTACCGATTAACGTTCAATCACATGCTCGATTAGCCATTTGTCTTATCGATATTTTGAACAGTTCACATTGCTCCTAAGTTTGCATTACAGATTTGAATGAATTATAATCTTTTGGATGAAATACTTCTTATTTGAATTCACCTCACTCTGTATCGCTCTTTATCCATATTTGGACAATAATAAAAAATCAATTAAAGCTTGTTATCACTTTTTATTATAATCTATGCTACTAACAATTAATTATGTAATTGTTATGTCGGTTGTAGATTCGTAAACTTAAGAGTCATGTGAATTGTACTGTAGCTTGAGTTATAAACATCAGGAAATTTAGGTACACTATTGAGTTAATTTTGAATATAAAGACGAAACATGTTTTTTGATCAATTGCGTTTATTTGGAAAAGTTGTGTAGGAAATTGTAATGTATAAATACAGTTATATCCCTGTATGTTCATGGAGTGTGACATGTGTTGTTATGACATATGTATAGTGTTTGTGAAGAATCATCTGACCTTACCCAGTTAAACTGCAAAATGCGTACGCTGGAAACCTTGACCTAGGCTCTGGAGAATCATTTGTACCTCTTCTTCGTTGCGATGATGAAACACAAATGCCTCGAATTTCGTTGCCACGTTGCAATTGGTATCTCTGAAATTAAGTCGAGTAAATAGTCTAAAATAAAATTCTGAACTCTCTTGGAACACATGTTCGCAATTACCCTGCGATGTATGCAAAATAGTCAGGAATATTGGCTGTGCGACCGCATGATGAAATTTTCATATAGCTGTGCTTCATTATAATCTGAAATACAACAATTATTCGTCATTTTCATATCCCCTGAAAATTCAAAAATATGAATCGTATGCAAAATTCACCGCATCATCGGCATCTTGAGTGACTCTTACACCCATCTCGAGGCACTCAAATCTTACAAGAATTAACTTTGAGTCTCCTGATCTCAATAGATTCCATATTGCTTTTTCTATTTGTCTAACGTCGCCTTCTATTCCTGTGGATATCGAACCGCAATAATTTACAGGGAAACCAGCATTAAGTAATGTCCTTTCTGACTTCACATGATTCACATCGTTTTGATTATTTTTTGCCACTGAAGTTGTACTTCCAGAACATTTCAAAGCTCTGTTTAAAAAATCCGTACTGACACGGTCACTCATAAGATTAGCTATTGGACCAAACGTTTCGTCAGAATTTTTGTAGTGATACTGAAATACAAAATTATCATGAAAGTTTGTTTAATAATCATTTTAAATTAAATTAGATCATATTTTCGTAACAAGGGGATATTGTATACTTGAACGATATGCAGGGTTATTGGCTGGCCGGAAGTCTTCTTCATTATTTTGCGCAATTTCCCTTTAGCACTCGTCGTAATGACGTTGCCGTTGATCTCATCTAGGACGTCGCCAATTTTGATTTTTCCCTAACAAACAATGAAAATACACGTGAAGTATAGAGGAAATTCGTTTAAAAAAAATATAATTACAATTAGCATATATGCTGTTCTTACATCTTCAGCAGCCACAGAATTCTCTTCCAGGTTAACAATCAAAGCTTTTCCTTTAGTGAAGCTGTGAGGATTCAAAGAAAAGGCACTACGAGTTAATCTGCATCAAGTTTAATTCATTTCCTTTAGGACCTACCATACCGAAATACCAAGATTCTTGCATGGAACCAGTTCCAAGGCTACACAGTGGGGAAGCTGCCACGATTGGTCGAGGAAACTTGAATTTCTGAGATTCAACTTAAAATTTAATTTGCTTATCTGCAGAAGAACCGATAGAAAAATCTCGCCAAGGATTTCATCGCCCAGAATACTGTTTGGCTCGTAAAACTCCAGAGACAAGGACGGCGTGCGAACCTGTAGTAACATAAGGTAAAAATATGATATACCATCCCTTAAGAACACGAAGACAGCGATGATAAAAGCAACAGCTATAAAACTCACTATGAATTCCACAGGTACATGAAGGCACTTCCTTAGCAAGGACATACGTATCAATTGACGAAATCGTCCAGGGGATGTTTGCAACTTTTCATTATCACGTACGCTTTCTATAAGCGAGAAGAATCCGTAGAGAGAGAATTTCTGTTTCTCAGCCAGTTCCTCCAACCAGTACCAGGGTTCAGGTATTTTTGGAAATCCAAGCGAATTTAAGCGACTTGCTACTCCCTTTTGAAAACATTTTTCAAGACATATGCAGAGGAACTTTAGATTCTCGTTGTCGTCAATAATTTCAATATTGTCTTCTGTCAGCTTGCGCGTCCAACCTGAAAAAACAGTGTTTTAAAAACAGGAAAGTCTAAAAGAATTGAAATATATGTATACATTGACAATTTAAATATTAGTTAATGCCATCGACTACAGTGCCATCTCTGCGAACTTGCATGAACCATGTAGAACAGTATCAGGAAGTGACGTTTACCGGTATCAAAATAATAATCCGATTATTGTTTACACCATAAATTGTAAAGATTAAATATATAGTGAAAAAAGTTTATTAATTTAAAAAACTAAATTTGGTATAATATTAATCAATCGATAAAAACCGAGAAACCATATTCAAAAAAGTAACTACCTCCCGTTACAGAAATCAATATCCGTACGTGTACGTCAACTCACATATCAAACAAGATGATGCAAATTCACCGACACATCTTAATTAATGTCAATCCTCCTTAAATGAGCCTAATCGAGCTCTTTTTCTTTAAACGGCAAATATAATCACAACACCAACAGTTTTTAACGTCAAGGTCTAACCATCGGTGTCAACATAAACCTGTCACACTGTCATCTTCATTCAAACACCTCACCTTTTAATTCTTTGATAAGAGGATCCGACACAGTCATGTTATATTATTTCTAAAATAAATTAGCGAAATCAGAGGTATTGTATTTGTTACGTGCCAGACATAATGCTCTTCATATTTATAACAAGAAGGTAATACGTAGCCCACATAACACTTCACAGCTGGCACTGCCAGTCCGGTGCCGTTTAATGAGTCATATACATATATACAAAACACACACGCAATTCGTGAATCTATCTATGTGCGTGCATCTATAGCGCTCACATACTTAGTTCCTTTAACATGACGTTATCATACATTATCACTGTGTGCAATGATAACATACTTCACAGTATGTCCCAGGAAGCCAGTTCCCCATTGGCTGATAGTTGCTCGAAGATAAACGTTCTTGCCAACGTATGTATTCAGTATATATATACCACGAATTTTGGTCTATTTTCTTCACAGTCAATCTTTGCAACGTGGAAGACTCAGTGTTACCGCGTGCTTCGTACGGGATGCATTGTAATTGCATAGATTGTTCAATAAAATAGTTACTCCAGACCTTTTCATAACTGACGTTTATTCGGTTCGTGAATCTCGGTGACATTCGACTGAGAAATACTAATGGCTGCGTTAATTCCTGATGTGAACGACGTGAGAGTGAATGCATTATTCAGTTTCTCTAAAGAATTTGGCCAGGATGCAACTGTCTGCGTTTGTGCACCAGGTCGAGTTAACCTCATTGGGGAACATACTGATTACAATGAAGGGTACGTCCTGCCAATGGTAAATCAAGATTTTGATATCTGTACAACTTATCGTTTATTCTTTGCATTGTTTTGAGTTAATGCAATAACTTTCTTCGTTAACGCTATATACATATATATATATATATATATGTTGTCTTACAATTTATATATTTTCTGCATTTTTAATAGCTTTTAACGTGTCCTCTTACGTAAGTAAAATATCTACATCTTCTATCGGATTTATGCTATCGGAAAAGTTTATTCCTCATTTATTATTGAGGGATAATATCTTGTACGTACTAACCCAGTTAATACGTTTTATTGCGGCAATATAACGTGGGAGTTACATGTAATGTAACAATGTTATTCTTGAGACATGTAGCGGTTACATAACATTGAAGTAACAAGTAATGTTTAATTTGTGATATTCAAGTAACGTAACTGCTATATATTATTTTAGCGTTAAAGTTATGTAACAAAACTTATGCAGTCGGTACGTAAAATCCGTGTAACAATATTATTATAACTTTAGTGATATTCGTGTAATGTTTATGGAGTGTAATGACCTTAAGGTAACGTAATAAGAGTCTATAACGTGTATGTAATTTGCTGATAATCCACTAAACACAGTATATAACAGCTATATTAGTTGAAAGTAACAAGTTACATAACAGTTACATTTACAAATGTATACGGATAACATAACTCGTTACTTCAGTGTAATGTTACATTGGCAATTTTCAAAAATATCTGTATATAATATTACGATGTTGCGTTTACGCAATATTACATCGGTTTCATCGTTAAATATTTTTAAGTTACATTAAAATATTACTTCAATGTAACATTAACATTGTATTTAATCGTTTTGAAAACCAATAATTCTTAAAATTACAAAAGTGACGTCCGTAAGAAACCTACTGCAGATTTTCACATTGCTTACAAAATTTATCCGCCGCTAATCCTAATTCCCACTAAAAAGTTCCATTATTATTTTCCTGAATACCTCGTACTTTCTACTTTCCAAAAGCCCTGATGCATAAAAATCATACCTTTTCCAATCTTTCTACCCTAAACTTCCGTTACCCCCCAAACTAGGTTTCCCCACTCACGAATTGAGTTTCTCCGCTTGCTTAACCTCTATCTTCCACCTTTTCTAAAATATATAACGTTGACGTCCCTTGGCGTAAGTTAGTTAACCTGAGAATTGTACACGACGCTCCTCAACGAAGATTTCAATTATTAGAAATCCATCGATATTTTCCTTTAACCCACGTAAAATATAAATTTCTCGGGAGACAATTCTTTGGGATCAGCGTTCGTAACATCGACGATGTCTATCTAACTAACTGCCCCATTTTGTTTACTGCTGTCCACGACCATCACGCGCCTGACTTGTAGTTATTATTTTTGGCCCATTCCACGAGCGTGGCTCGATATCTGAAGTTCCAAAGGGGTTATTTTAATTCCTCCTACATAACGAAATGAGAATTACGTCATTGAAAGTATGTCCGCTAGAGGACAAGGCGTGAAAAAAATCAATTCGCAACAAAAGTGTATCTCTCAAATATATACATATACCAGAGTAATACTTGTAGGTAACACGATTAATTGAAAGTGTGTGCAGGCCTAACGTGCCAGCTACCTAAAGCTTTTTGAACACTTTGAGTGTAATACTTAATAATATGAATGTCTACTCAAGGTCTGAAATACTTGTATCTCATAAAATGAACTTAATTCCTAGCAAAGACGAATATCACGTTTATGTTACTCTCGAGAGTCCATGATGTTATACTACATAGCACTAGTTATGTGAAACGAAGAAAGACGCCATCTGACGATCCGAAATACAGTTACATTAATATATCGCCGGTGAGACATTACATCCACGTTACTTTAAAGTAATAGAAAGAACGTTGCCGTTAAGTAAATGTTTCCTTGTGTCCACGTATATGTGACTCAAATCAATAAATCGGTTCGGTTGTGTAACACTTATATAATATTGTTAACCTGCAATGTTACGTTGTTGACACTGAAATTGTAACTTATATTCAAGTTACCGGTAACACACTTGCAATATTATTTGTTACATTTGGTTCTGCAACCGCAATGTAATATTTTCGTAATTGTGCTTAGTGGGAATGTACCGACTGTGTATAATATATATTTTCCGCCATTCGTTCAAATGCGATTCGACAGTTTGAAGCGTGTCGTAACGGTATTAAAGGGATCATTTAATATTTATAGGCACTGCCAATGATCACAGTCATTGCTGGGAAATCAAATAACACGACGAAATGCAAAATTATTTCACTGAGCGACGCCATTAGTTTGGAGAGAGACGTTGAGTTCTCGACGAGCAAGGAAGATCTTAAAGCTGGTGAACCAAAATGGGCGAATTACGTAAAGGGCTGCATCGCTAACTTTCCTTGTACGTTCTTCCCGTAATATTAGCATTTAGCTCTTCGTCCAATATGTAGCTAACGATGGATTCATTTATATTTCAGGTACTGTGCCTGGATTCGATGCGGTGATCCTCTCCACGGTACCCGTTGGTGCCGGTTTAAGTAGTTCAGCCGCTCTGGAGGTTGCGACGTATACATTTTTAGAAAAGCTCACCGGCCGTGTGTCTAAAAAACAAGAAGAAAAGGTATATAACATATAGTACGGATAGTCAGTTTTAATATGTTTCACTCTATAGTTAATGCTACTGCGGATATCTATAGGCTTTAGCGTGCCAACGTGCGGAACACGAATTCGCTGGCGTACCATGTGGTATCATGGACCAATTTATTTCAGTGATGGGCCAAGAGGATCACGCTCTTTTACTCGATTGTCGTGACCTCTCCACCAAGCAAATACCAATGTATGATATAAATGAATTTTTGTTTCTTATAACAAATTCAAACACACCGCACAAGCTGAGTTCTAGTGCCTATTGCGAACGTAGAGATGCCTGTTACGAAGCAGCCAAAGTACTTGGCAAAAAGAGTCTCCGGGAAGCCACTCTGGATGATCTTCAAGGTAACATATTTCAAGTATAATTAGGATATTCGAGTCTTAGATTTGTAATATGCTTTAATTATTTGCAGTTCTCGAGATTCAGAAGATGCCAGAATACGTGGTCAAAAGAGCGAGACACGTAATCACAGAGATTCAACGAACCGTCGATGCAGCAGCGGCTCTCGAAAAGGATGACTTCACGAAGTTTGGCGAATTAATGAACCAGAGTCATGACTCTTTGCAGAAGGACTACGAGGTGTCTTCTGTGGAGTTAGACACTCTCGTATCGTCTGCTAGAGAAGTCAAGGGTGTATTGGGAAGTCGTTTAACTGGCGCAGGATTTGGAGGATGCACGGTAACGCTTGTAAGAAAGGATGCTGTCAACGAGGTTATCGATGTCATTAAAAAGAGGTTTGTGTCACTGCTCATCACGTGACATTGCTGCTTCTTTCATTTGGTATTTCAGTGTAGAAATCGTTTTATTTCGTTTTTCTTTTTTTTTCAGATATCCCGGTAAGGCCACATTCTACATAGCAAAACCCGCCGGCGGTGCTCGTTATATGAGTACGGATATTGCAAAGTCTGATTTTGATTCCGATATCGAAAACGCTTAGATATAGGTTGTAAACTAAAGATATTTTTTCATACTAAATAAACTGGTGTCTTACCATTCATATCATATAATTCTAGATTATTATTTATTAACAATAAAAGCTGCGATTACACGTACTACTCGTACGGTTGTCTATACATACACGAGTGCGTGCATACGTACACGCACAGTCAAACGCTGGCTCAGATAATAATCCATATTCTTATCTTCTTCTCGTACACTTTCAAACAATAAACTTAACGTACATGTCACACAACACTGCGACTTCGGAGAAACGTCATAGACGAAGTTGGTCGTTAATACTGCCGTTTCGGTTACTCATACTTGGTTCGGTTTCACTTAGTCGTTCATTTCTTCTTTATCTCTATACACCCTCCATTGCGTTCAGTGTCTGCTCACTATATTGTTTGATAAATTTGAATATTCTGAAACATCAAAAAAATCTTAAACCGTTGTACGACAATCATAAGAACTAAGCAGAAATTGATATCAGAAGACATACCTTTTAAATAATCATTAAGTTCAACTTCGTTTGAGCAACATTTTAATCCTGACGGTTTGACGCCCTTAAAAATCTCGCCAACACTGGCTTTAAGATTTTGGAATATCAAGGGTTGTCCCCTGTTGGCGAAGTCCTCGATAAGACTTTTTATTCCCTGGAAGGATGTACAGATAAATAACTCTTATTTTAAGCTGAACAAGATTGCGGGAGGTCGTATTTTAATGTTACCTTTGCCGCGGTAAAGTCTGCAGCCTGAATGTGCGTGGAGTCGATTACCACAGGAACGGCGTTACCTTGACGAGATCCTTGCTTACTTATCACAGCACGTACGTACTCTACACTTGGGAAAGCGAGACTTCTGTCTGGGGTGATGACGAGATACTCATAACCAGCGGTACTCTGTAGGAAAAGAGTCAATGAACCAACTTGATGAATGGCGATAAGTAATGCCGATGCAATAATCACTTACCGTAACTTTGTTTACTCGCAAGGATGGTCTCGCCGATGCGTAAAGTAGGAAAAGTAGATTTATTCCTATTCCGATGAGTATACCAAGTTCCAATCTGACAAAGAGACAACAGAGGAACGTGGCAACGGAAAGCAGAAGGTCTATTTCTGAATAAAGAGAAAGGACGATGCAGGTGAAAAAAACAAATACTCAAACAGGGCTGCGTCTCTTGCAAAACGTCTGAGAGACGTTACTTACTCTTAGTACGCCACATAGGCTTGACCACGTGAAGTTCAACCATAAATACTACGGCTGCGATGATAACAGCAGCTAAAGCGGACTTGGGGATGTAGCTGAAGCAAGGTGTGAGAAACTGAAGAGATAGGAGTACCAGGATTCCAGTGTAGACACCACCGAGCGTTGTCTTAACACCGGAAGAGTGATTAACGGCACCACGGCTGAGACCTCCAGTGACTGGTATGGATGAAACAAACGAGGAAATGATGTTGCAGGCGCCCAAGGCCAGCATTTCCTGGGTCGCGTCCATCGGTTTGCCTTCGGCTGAAATATTTATTATTGACAACGTCAGGTCTTTCAGCTGTACGCTGGACAAGTAACGATTGACACTCACAGAATACTTTTACTATTGCGATGCTCTCGAGTAAACTAAGAATAGGAATGACGAGGCACCCTGATCCCAGGGCGGACACGGTATCCACAAAGCCATAAGTCTGGTTGCCAATTTGAGACTGGAAAGGTGGTAATTTTAATGGCGGCAAGCCTTGCTTTACGTCACCAGTTAGAATAACTGGAGATGATCCTAAGTGAGACGTTAGGAACCAAGAGATTAAGCCGCAGATAACGACCACAAGAATGTTTCTTGCTGTAGACAACAGCCAGAGAAACTTAACAATGGCGCGTTGCATTGTCGTTGGCTCCTTGGTATTTTTCGATATCACGGGTAGATCCTTTATTTTCTAAATCAGAAATGAGTCAGCGTTAAGAGAGGAAAATAAGAGAACGATCTAATGCTCGAATTAATTGGAACATACTCTAAGGATCAAGAGGACAATCATACAGATGCAGCCCATCACAGCATCCCAGAGTCTTGTCTCCCCGATATGCTCAAATATGGTTTTCCAAACTCGTAGAAAGTTTGATTCACTAAAGCTCAGACCAAGAATGTCTTTAACCTGACTGGTCGCAATAATTATAGCTGCTGCGGATGTAAACCCAATGGAAACAGGACCTGAGATAAAGTCTATAAGGAATCCTGAAAATAGATAAATATTTCGTGAAATAACTGAGATAGTGAATATGAAACAGAGATATAGGGGAAAAAATTACGTACCTAACTGAAGTATACCCATTAGCATGGAAACGCAGCCTGATATAAATGTCAATAGTATAGCGTAATTGTGCCCGAGATGGGCCTTCTGTAATGTTTCTCTAGTGAGGATGGATGCAATGGCCGTGGGCCCGACGGGGACGTCCTTGCAAGATCCAAAAATCATGTAGACGAAGCAGGCCATGAAGGACGAATAGAGTCCATACTATAACGGGAATATAATGACTATGATCAATTGCAAGAGCGAAGGATAGACAAATAAGAAATCGACGAATAAATAAAGTTGAAGGAGAAAAAGACAAATACAGAGAATAAAATAAAGAGAGGACGAAAAATCAATGCTTTTTTACCTCGGCGGGAAGTCCTGCGACGTTAGCATAAGCTATCGCCTGAGGAATAACGGTAAGTCCCACTGTGATACCAGCAACCATGTCGCTCACGACATACTCCTTTCGATATTTTGGTAGCCAATCAAGTATCGGTATCCTCCTATACAGAAGTTTCATCCTGAAGGACCTTCGTAGTCTCTGGTAAATCCATTTGGAACCTGACGCACAGACGAATCCTTTTTCCAGATCGACTGCATCTGAAATGTTTAGATTATGTATGATCGAATGTTTTGTGCCCATTAAAGACATGTCCCCTACACGTCACTGTAGTGTACTTTGTCCATCCACGACATCCATCCACCTTTATACACAGGAGTGGCTCATGCTATTGGGAATTTCCAGGAGCTCTTCTACGATTTACTCATTTTAATTAATCCCCGAGAATCTAAGTAGTTCAGAATTTGAAAGTTTGCTCGCGCCTATCGTATATCGATCCAGGCGAATTATATATCCTATACTAAACATATGCGCAAATAGGCAAATAAACTGTAGGGTGGACGGCCCAATCATCGGACACGTGTCAGTAATCGTCAGTGTGTGCTTTGATTATAGCAAAATCTACAGTATTATAATATACGATCTTTCGTACATGGCCATCCACTCCATATACGTCAGTAAATAAGCGAAATATTTTCGTAAAGGTGGCACTCCGTACTTTCGTAAGTGTTCGATAAACGAGCTAGGACACGAACATATTTATTTTTTGAACAGTCTCTCTAGTAAGGAATATTTTAATTTTTTGTCCTGGAGAAATCGTTTTCAGAAAGTACCATTATTAATAAGTAATACGTTTTATCGTGTATGCCATATCATATATATTTTTTTCATGAAATTTCATCGCGAGGACAGCAAACCCAATCGAATGGGGTCGAATGTAATAAAATCAAGACAAATATTATTGATAAGTCAAAGATTAACTCTAAAAGAGAAAGGGCATACTAGCCTAACGTTAGCAGAATGTTAAAGCTGCTGGTTCAACATATATGGGAGAATATACCCGTTACCCGGATCCAATGAGTTCATACGAAACGACCATAGCTATCCTGTCTCTGATCCTGCAGTTGCTTAAATCAAAGACTAACTCGCAATGTCTATGATTGTTGAGTTGAGACGTTCCTTGGACGTGGAGGACAATGGACAAATACTAAGATTCCTCAGCGCAAAAAGTCCTTGTGCCAAATTCAGTTTCTTTGAGTCAACCAGGAGTCCGAGACGTCGCTACCGTCGTACTGGCTAATCATGGATAACTCACCGGGTGTTTGTTTGTCGACTTTTTGCAGTGGTAAACCGTTCAGTCTGTTATCGAGATCCACAGTGACATCCCTAGAGTCATGGCCTGCTGTGTTCTCCATAGATCTTTCATTCACCAAATTCTTGGTGAATCCGGTGAGCCTCACCTCACGCTGGGACTCGTGATCCCTGAGATCGTATCCTGTCATATTGTCGTAGTAAAGGCACTAACTCTTATTTTGGATATCCTCGAAGAAGGGTCAGGTAGGCTCCATCGTCTACTGACAGCAGCCTGTAAAGTTTTTACGTTTTAAAATGAACTGTACAGGACACCGTTACTTTCGTGTATTACTATCTGTCTTAATATATCTACTAGACGTTTGACACGATCGCACTCGTTCGTAGACCTTTCTAAAAATTCTTGTTTCTGGGTGGGCTTCACGCCTAAAAGCGATTTACATGAGGTTGCACTAATGGAGGGGTGTCAGTGATCGACGCCAGGCGCCTTCGAAGCTTTTATGTGAATTACCACGTAACTACCTTCGCCCTCTGCTCTTGGACGAGGATAAAGAAAGACAAGAGTACTAACGGCACTATGAATAATCCTTGGAAGCGATTACCAATCGTAGTTAGGACGGTTAACGGTTTCCTCTTCATCAACGTTACAATTTCAATGCCAGCTAGTCTAGCAATACGTGTGTAGATAATCCTTTGAAGGATCTGCTAGTGTTACGAAATTGAGATGCATAGAAGCACGTACAAGACGCGTGGAAGAATCCAGAAGTCGGTCGACGATTGAATAGAAATTTTAGTGAAAAATGAAATTATGAGAAAATGAAGTAATCGAGTCGAAGGAACTCGAGCATGCTTACCAAGATTAAGTAATCTTCGCTTCGGTTGAAAAATTTATTAATAAATCACATACACCGATAACGTGTTAACACTTATTCACTTTTCAACACTTCCCTGGCAATATGCTTCTTTATTCTGATTGAAAGTCGTACTGTCACAAGAAACTTTCTCTAGTCCGGAATGACCGGCGAAACAGTCCTAATTCATGTACGCACACGTCCTTTTCTTCAGGAATTCTTTGTTATTCTCACTAGATCCAGAACGATGATAGCGTTCTCGTAGTACTGATTATCTCAGTCGTCTCGATACTCGTTTAATCCAGGATACAGAGCGACGAAGGAAGTTTAGAAGGGCTTCACGATGTTGACATTTGTTTTTCTCCATCAAAGGGTTCCTGGCGTTCCTCTCTGCAACGCAGTCGGGGTAAGTCGTCACTTCCTTCGCAGACCCTTTACCAGTACAATAATAAAGCTGGATCACAGACGTCGAAGAGACACAATATTTATCACGTTCAAATCTTTCTTATATAATTATAAAACAAAGTCACACACGACTTCGGAGCAAAGTTCCTGGTTTAGGAGGTGCCTCTGACTGCACCAAGCCGGACAGGCTGGCTAGCAAGCAGTCCAGGTAGCCAGGTAGACAGGCAAGCAGGTAGAGATGCAGCCAAAGAGTGGACTGGCAAGTGTAAATTCGCCTTTACGCGGCGATCGTACACGCATGCGCCTTTCGAGCAGATTCCACTCAAAACATTGCCACGTGCTCTCCACCCACTACAGGGACCGCTTGATGTTGATTGGCCGTTACCAATCACAGGAGCCTCGAATCCTTCCTTGTTTAATCGGCAGCGCTGTTACTTACACCTAAAGGATAACAAATCAATGATTCTAAAGAATTAAGCTACGGACTGCTTACCTGGTGTCGTCATCCTGGCACTACACTCTAGTGAATTTTCAAGGCTAGCATTCCTTGGAGGGAATCTACGTAGAGCGTGTTTAGATTCACCAGGTGGAATGCGTATCATCGTCCTCGTTTGATTTTCACAAACGTTACACTTCATGTAGCTCATAGCCAATTCCTGTTTACTCATTCAGACGTTACATAAACGATCCGACACCTTCTATGGATATGAACTTTTATTCCTTCTACACGTTCGGCTAATGCTTCTTGTCGGCTTTGTAGAAATATTTGTATATGAAGGATGATCGGTGCATGGTGCCACCAGCATTTTTCCCGACACGTAATCATTGTTACGAACCTGGCATTCTGTTACATCAACATGTGTAACGATCTAAATTTGCATAGTGGAGTGAATTATCTTCTTCTTGGAAATCTAAGTTGATCTCTCGGAATCTTCAGGATACAAATTAGTATAAAAACGTATAGATTATTAGTTTCGAGATTTTCCAGAGAATAATTCTCAATTGCTCAGATAGATTATCCATTAGTTCTCCTTCCTCTCTGAAAGATCCATGACTCGTTCGTAACGAAAAGGGCAGATTTTACCTTCGTTACTTTGATTGCAAAGTGAAGGCACACGAGGTAGTGGAAATCCAAAGCGATATAGTAACATTACGATGTCAAGACGGCGAATCAAATTGACCACAGTCGTCCAACGTCAACATCAGCGTTGGACTCTCATTATGGATAATCATTCCTTGCAAATAGATAGGCAATTTGTGAATGCTGAACTAAGTATCGAGTTCCTGAAGTCATTTCCGACAATGTTTTATGCAAATTCTTTGCAGATAAAAGATACAATTACATGGATAACCAGGTTGTTTCACGGGAGCTCGTCAGCAGTTTAATTCTAGTAACAGAAAATGAATTTTTGAAGTGTGCTCCAAAAGTTCTGAAAACCGTAATTAAAAATTTATTAAGAAAATAAAAAAAGTATAAAATATTCCAACCCACGTTGAGGCCCCGGGGGGATTCGAACCCCCGATCTCCTGTTTACTAGACAGGCGCTTTAACCAACTAAGCCACGGCGCCCTTATTACGTACCTATAACTAAAGTATAAATAATCTTTAATAATTTTTAATGTCATTCGAGCTCACCGCGTTTTGCATTAATACTTACCGCTGTCTGTTCGAATACTTTTTTTGCGTTTTCTAATATATATGAAACGCGTGTTCTACACTTTGTGTATAATACAAACTGTGTACAAGTGCCTCGCTTCAAAATTACAGACACGTTGGCGAAATTCCAATTGAGGTTTCTGACCGAATAATCAGGTTATCCGTAAGGTGTCGCTAATGTGTAAAAGATTCGAAGTTATGCGTTATGGAAATGTTATTACGTGGACCCAGGAACCATAATTATGAAAATATTAGCTGAGGACAGTATGCAAAGTCTTAAAGCGACAAAAATGCATATATTTACATAGTCAAAGCGACAAGAGCGTTTTAAATAATTCTAAGCATGTCGTTTCATTCTGTTTTTTGAGAAAGTATATTAACAGTCACCCTATACTGGCTTCTGCATGGTTCTACGTGAGTTTCATAAGAAAACAGAAATGAGGCCGTATATTCTGTTTAACTTCAAGATATTAGCGAACTTCTACAGGATGCCATTGAATGCGTTCAACGATCTCCCAATAGGTTCCACTTGAAAGGATGTTCAACGGAGTTTGACGTGAACCTGCAAGAAGGATTCTCTAAGTTAATTCTGATGTTTCACGTATAATTATGAAATATAATGACACAAGTAATTATCATTCTAAAATATCCGTTAAAAAATCAAAGAAATCTACTCTATGAGCGCTTTTTCACAGTTCATATTTCTTAGCTGAAATACCAGTAACTTCATACATATATGTATCCCATGCACATACTTTTATATGGCAGCTAATAAGAACTGTTGTACATGGAATGCTACATGAGAAACTTCTAGAACGACTTGTACACAAGTGATTGTGCTGCATAATCGGCATAGTTCCAACATCAATGGTCCTACGCTGGGTTTTCCATACAGTCAACGTATTTTCATGTGGGAGAAAGGTCGATCGGACGGTCGGCAGCGAAGCGTTCGATCATTCGTATCCACTGGAACGAGACGATCGATCCAGCTATTTTCTTGTTGTGTAAGTTCGAGGTCATAGTCTGACGCTCTACTCATCCATGCGAATCTATTTGGCTCATTTGCATCGATGACCAGCTAATCATTTGACCCTAGAAAATATGAGAAAATGTCATTGAAATAATTCAGGGCGCCAATGACGTATCATCGGACGAGGTGGCCGAGTGGTTAAGGCGTTGGACTGCTAATCCAATGTGCTCTGCACGCGTGGGTTCGAATCCCATCCTCGTCGAACACGTTTTTTTTTTAACTCATTTTTGAATCAGCTTAAAGTGGAGTTGGGAACCTCATAGCTGTTATACTAGAACCCCCCCCCTCCCCCCGCCAAAAAAAAGGAACAAAACATAATCGTCCCACCAGGAACCAACTATTATTAAACGTTACGTTGCCCGTGAAGAATTTAATTGGTAACGAGTACTCAAGGATGTTGCATAATTATTGCGCAACAGACGGAATTTGTTTTTCGTATAAAACACTTAACCCTTCGCACTCCAAGAATTGTTTTCAACGGGCAACATGTCGTTACGGCGGCGCCAATAGAGTGCAAAGGGTTAATTACTCTCTTTTACTTTTATTTCCTCACATATTTTATCAATACGTTTTCTTTCAATTCCCTTCGTTCGTTCCTGCATTGCGATTTCACAAGCGTGACTTATCTTGTTGAAGTCAAAGGAATGTGTCGTTCTGCTGAGATAGCCCACAAGATCCCCCTTTCTTGCAGACTCATAGTTTAAGAATTAGCTTGAGATTACAGTAGACCGTCCTTTTTGAATTTTAGAATATTTATAAAAGACACGGATAAATTTTGTTATTAAAGATGGAATAATATCGCGAGAGCAGTCTCTAGAGTAACATTCAAGCATCTGTCGAAATAGCCCAGTTGCGGTTCAATCCCGGATTTCGGCTAGTTGAACTTTTTTATTTGCCTTACTTCCAAGAGTCAATCGATCTTGAGGAGGAATCTTGGCTCACACCTGGATTAAATAGATGTGTTCTACCAAGCATGCCAGATGAGGTTACACTAGCGATAATATCCGATATCCCCAGTGGTTTATACCATTGGGACGCTCTCTACCATTTCGTAGCTCCAAGGATACGGCTGTCTAATGGCTTCACTTTAGTGCCTTAAGCGATTCCCTAGGCGATGCCTTTCCCGTTCAATATAGCTTAATAACATCCGTTTATTACTTTGTGTACCACAGCCATGAATATAGAACTTATATCCAGTACGTATAGCAAGAAATAAGAATGTCATTATTTTTCTGACAATGAATGAGTCATTCTTCTACCAATAAATTGCCTTGTCATTATTTTTCAGGGCGCCCATGACTTTCTTCCATCCAATTGTTGGTAAAAGCTCGTGGCATCATCGATACAGAAAAGAGAGCTAATGAACTTTAATGAGCTCAAACGTTGTCTAATCATATTTCTATCCGTTTTGTTTTATGATAAGCGAGAGTCCATCGTGCAGAGGAATGCTCCAATGGTTTTTCACGATTTGCACGGACTAATGCCTGACCTCCAGTCGAGAACTAACTGCGAGCAGGCACTTGCGTACGTCATTGACGTGAGATAGTGAACTAATGGTGAAAGAGAGCGAATTGAAAAGAGAGAAGCATAATGATGACTTCCATCAACTCTGACAGAACTCCTTTGCTCTCGAACGGTAAGACAATACTGCTCGTGGCGTGACAAAAAGCTGATATTAATCCACAGTTCAGTGGGAGATATCGCGTATTTGTCGCTACAAGCGTTCCGCCATTGACTGCCGTGCGAACATATTTTTTTCTCTTCTTTCTCAGTGACGCGCAATGTCAGTGGAGGCCACCGCAGGTCTCCTACATAATTCGAACAAGCAATTTGCATAGCTGCTCTATTTAAACATTCGAAAAAAGCAGTTTCTGGTTACCTTGATTTACATTTTGGTTTCGTACTATCATACCGAATGTTCTTATTTTCAATTACTTTTGCTTTCTCATGCGTGAAGGAGTCAGTGCTTCCGTAGCAGTCGTGGCCGAGTGGTTAAGGCGTCTGACTAGAAATCAGATTCCC